CACTATGCTACCAGAGCTCCCCACATCAACCATAGCTCTTTTAAAACATATGTCAGGTTATGACAGTTTTTGTTTCAAAATTCTCTAGTAGCTTCTTGTTCAGAGTAAGAGCCAGTGCTTACAATAACTTTCAAGTTTCTGCACAATCTGCCTCATCCCCTCCTCACTCTGCTTCAGACATGCTCATTCCTTTGCTATTCTTTGAATACTGCCATAGATTTTCCCACCTTAGGGCCTAAACACTTGCTATTGCTTCTGCCACTAATGTGTTCTTCTCTAGATATCAACCTGGCTTTCTCCCTTGTCAGGTATCACTTCTCAGTAATATCCTCCCGAACATTGTATGTAAAATTGCAGTAATGACCTCTGTCGCTATACTTCCGTTCCACATCCTTATTTTATTTTACTCTACAGCCTTTATCATCTTCTGTCTTACTCTTTTTATTTTGTGTTTGTTTTCTTAATGGCTGTGTCTGTCATTAGAATCATTGGTAATTACTTGAGTAATTACTTTTGTCTCTTTTGTTTATTGCTGTAACTCCAGGAACTAGAATGAAGTCTGTCATATAAACATTCAATAAATATTTGCTAAATAAATTATTTGGATGACTGATCTTGCTATTAACTACTTATTTGTTGTTTTATGTCTGAACTTACTTTTTTTTGTAATTAGTAAACATTCATATTGAATTTTCACCAGATTTTATAATGATCATTTCTGTCTTCATCTCTAGTTGCTATTCACAGCTCTCAAAAATTATATCAAACATTTTACCAGGGAAAGTTTGTTGGAATACAGTTATAAATTACATAATTGTGTTGGCATAATTTTAACAACATACTTCAAAACATAGCAACCTAATGCAGCTTTAATTATAAAACTTCATTTAAGGGACTATATGCATATGTTAAAATGTCAGTGGAAAATGTGTTATAGCAGATGTCATTAGATGTACTATTATGGTATTTGACATGATTTTTTTTTACATGCAATTAATGAAGACATTCTGACAGATTATTGTATCTGATAATTAATTTCTAGGGGCATATCATTCGAGGAGCTTACAGGTTCCAAGCCATCATCACGACTTTTGAAATGATTCTTGGAGGCTGTGGAGAACTAAATGCAATTGAATGGCGGTGTGTGATTATTGATGAAGCACATAGATTAAAAAACAAAAATTGTAAACTCCTGGAAGGTCTGAAACTCATGAATCTGGTAAATAATTTAATGCCATTATTGTGAGTTAATTAGTTTCCTAGCTATATAGTAAAATTTCACATGCTAAAAACTTTATTTTACAAAACAAATGTATCTGAATACTATCTGAGTAGTAATTATTATTTCTTGCTTTAATTAGTAAGGAAAAATCTTTTTTGTCAAAATTTTAAGACTTAAATTTTTTTTAGCTCTTTCCTCCAAAAAACAACCCACTGCCATTGAGTAGATTCAGACTTACAGGATAGAATAGAACTGCCCAATAGGGTTTCTAGGGTTATAAATCTTTATGGAAACAGACTGCCTCATCTTTCTCCCACAAAGTGGCTGGTGGGTTCAAACCACCAAACTTTTGGTTAGCAGTCCAGTACTTTAATCACAGCACTACCAGAGCTTCTTTGTCTCCAAAAAGCTTTAATAATTTATTTCTAGAATTAAAAGGAAAGAAACCTCTGTACTAGTGAAAAGAAAATAAGACCATAAATTGTACATCATTAATTCCTTAATATAAAGTCCTTTCATCTATCAAGGTTATAATGTAATTCAGATGATTTATGATAGATACAATACCCACATCATTTTACAGTCCGAGCATATATTCATTGTAATTAATGAATATAATTTTAGAAAATCATCATCTTCTTTGTATGTTTGCTACTATCAGATAAAGATTTTGTTTTGTACTGATTTTCAATGAAACCACATAATTAGTACATGAACACTTGAGCATATAACTCAAATACAGAGTTACATTCAGTGAAAATTTGAGCTCCCTTTTTTAATGCCTGTCTTTCTTTGCCTCACCACCAATTCTTACCCTCCATATATACAGTTTGGTATATCTCTTTCTGTATTACTTATTAGCATTTACATATGTATGAAGATACACAGATACCTATAGAAATATTTTATTTTGGAGCTTATTATTGTGAAATCAAATTTTAGTTATTCTGTCTTTCATTGAAAGGGGTGTTAAAGTCTGCTACTACTAATGTCTATTTCTTTCAATTCAGTTAGTGTTTGCTTTGTGTATTTTGGAGCTGTGAAATCAAATTTTAAATTATAATAGTTTATAGCAGCATCTACTAAAAATTTCCTGTTTATTTTCTTCTGTTACTGCACTCTTTAATTTTCAGTGGAATTCTAGTTTAGAAGCATATTCCAGTTAGCCATTCACATTCTTGAATAGGACCTTAAATGATTTGAGAATTTATTCTTATATGAATGATGAGTAGTTGAATACAATAGAAGCAGAAAAGGTTTATTTTCTTAGTGTTACCTAAATCAGCATCTAAAATTATTTAGAACTTAAAAATAAATAAATAAATAAATAAATAAATAGGTAAAAACTAATTGGCGGCAAAGTGAAATATTACAATAATGATTAAGAATTTTTAAAAAGTGATTGATTGGGAAAGTAAGGTTTTTTGGTAAAAAAGTATTTTGAGTTAACTCTTAAATATTATGGTCACTAGAACCTGGTAAAACACCTGAGACTATGGCCCCACGCTGCCCTTCAGGTCTGGAATTGAATCCACTCCTATGATTCCAGCCATACAAAAGACAGGCATTTGAGCTGAACATTCACATTAGGTAGATACACTCCTTGGAGGGATCAATCATGGGATAATAGAAGGGCTGTGTATGCACAGGAAGACAGCTCAGGGGGCAGAAGTGCATGGGAGGGAAGGACACAGGGAAGAGAGGTACCTAAGGGGGGGTGTGGGAAGAGAGCTGTTGCATTGTGGGAAATTATAGTCAATGTCATCAGACAACTTGTATGTGAACTGCTGTATGGAAGATGAATTTCCTCTGTAAACTTTTACCTAAATCACAATTTAAAAATAAAAATTATGGTCAGAAAGATACTTGCTTTTCAAACATTAAACATTTAAGAACCTAAATTATCATACAATATTTTTTCTTTGGTGTTTGATGTGAGTTATTCTTGTTTCATATAGGAACACAAGGTGCTTTTAACTGGCACACCTCTCCAAAATACAGTTGAAGAACTATTCAGTCTTCTTCATTTTCTTGAACCCTTAAGGTTTCCCTCCGAATCAACATTCATGCAAGAATTTGGGGATCTGAAAACAGAAGAACAGGTATTCTAATGCTATTTTTTATTAAGTATCCCAAATTTCTTATCATTATAACTTGTTTGCATGTGTAATTGTGTGTGCATAGAGTTTAAATACCTTCTTCTTATTTTTTATACAGGTACAAAAACTTCAGGCTATCCTGAAACCTATGATGTTGAGACGATTGAAAGAAGACGTGGAAAAGAAGTTGGCACCTAAGGAAGAAACCATCATTGAAGTAGAGCTTACTAACATTCAGAAAAAGTACTACCGGGCTATTTTGGAAAAGAACTTTTCATTTTTATCCAAAGGAGCAGGACAAACTAATGTACCTAACTTGGTTAATACCATGATGGAGCTCAGGAAATGTTGTAATCATCCATACCTTATAAAAGGTAGTTAGAAAAATTCATAAACAAATACATTTTTTTATTTTCACAAGCAATCATGAATAAAGAAAGTACCTCTGTAGCAGTAGTGGCTGTTACAAGGAAAGGGAAGGAGCCGGTAACTCCTCACTCTGGATTTCTGAGGGTTTGTAAGTGTTTTAGAGCCACAGGCAGTGAGTACTACCTTATTGTAGCATCTCATGTCAGCCCAGGAGCTCTGGTGGCATAGTGCCTAAGGCATTTGACTGCTAGCCAAAAGGCTGGCAGTTCAAACCCACCCGCCACTCCTCAGAAGGAAGATTGGGCAATCTGCTTCTGAGATATCACCTCAGAAACCCAAAGAGGGGTCACTATGAGTCAAATCAAATCAACTCGACGGCAATGAGTTTGTATTGGTTACAGTAGGAGAAGTTGTGTTCAGTTTAATTGGTACTGGTTATTCTTCCTCCAGTTTAATCTCCCTTCAGGACTCTGGATTTAGTTTTACTCCCAGTTTCCTTTCCCATTAGGGACACTCAGTTTTTGTTCTTTAAAACAGTAATTCTTAATGTTCCTTCCTAAGTTCTTCTCTGTTCTCTGACAGCTCTCTCTACGCAGTACTTGGGTCTTTTCACTTATTTCTGGGAATATAGCCCTCACCTATTTAATTTATCCATGGCAGTGTATCTTTTAGCCTAATAACTGAAATCTCTTCTTGCATTTCTGGTAGTCTTTTATGGTAGGCTGAGGAAAGACAGAAAGCATGTTTAATACCAGTCTTTGCTCTCTTGAAGGAAGTATTTATAAAGGATCTGTAACATGACTTCTCCTTTAGATTTTTTTCTTTTTTCTTTGTTTTATGGCCAGTAGGATGCCCATAGAAACATCTAGATTAATTGTGATCACTCTTGAGTGATGATTATTGTTATGATTAGTGTTTAAATATTAAATATTTGTTTAGCAATAAATGTGCTTACTTACCTGGGTTAGGATTACAGTTCCTTTAATTTTTTCTTAATAGCATTCATTAAATTTTAGTGAATATAAATTTGTAGAAAGCATCATGACAGTTGTCTGAGTTTATTAGAAAATCTTTAACATGTTTTCCTTGCCCTCAGTTAAATTACAATCTGGTGTTGGTAGAGATTTAGCTACAAAGATAAATAATTATAATAAAAGCAGTTTAATTACTATCAAAATATTTTACAGAAGCACAGAGGAACACTAGTCTGGATAAAAAAGAAAGCAATTGGGATTTGCCTGCATTTGTGTATTGATGTTATCCTTGACAGGTGCTGAGGAGAAAATACTTGGAGAATTTAGAGATACTTATAATCCAGCTGCTTCTGATTTTCATCTTCAAGCAATGATCCAGTCTGCTGGTAAACTGGTCCTTATTGATAAATTACTTCCGAAAATGAAAGCAGGAGGACATAAAGTGCTCATCTTCTCTCAGATGGTACGCTGCCTTGACATCCTGGAAGACTATCTTATCCATAAAAGGTAAGGAATGCTATAATCCATTGAATTACATCATGAATTATGCTAAGTATATGTTACTCACATTTTTCTTTTTACCTAAAATATGAGCTCCTTTTAACCTATGAATAAAGATTGCTCAGTATTAGGTTCTATGTATTTTATTATACACATCTCTTGCAGTAATAGGTAGGGCTAAGGAGACAGTGCCTAAGGCACTTGACTGCTAACCAGAAGGCTGGCGGTTCAAATCCACCAGCCACTGCTCAGAACGAAGGTTGGGTAATCTACTTCTGTAGTGATATTGCCTCAGAAACCCAAAGAGGGGTCGCTGTGTGTCTGGTCCAACTCGACGGCACATAACAACAACAACAACAACAAGGAGACTCATTAAGAAAACTTGGCAAATGGCCAGATATTTGTTGCTAAGAATGAGTTTATTAGTGTATATTTTACATGATTTGTAAACTTTCTGGTAACCATCTCACTTTAAATGGGTTTATATTTAAGATAGTCATCTTCAAAATGGAAAAGTGATTTCTGACCTTTTTCTGGATCTATTTCATTGTTATAATTAACCTTAACTCATAAAATTTGGCTGTTACCATAAATTATATAAAATCTGCATGCTTAATCTTTTTTAATTTGTTTAATATGGCTGTGTATTTATGTATACATGACAGCAAGATAGTCTTAAACGCTATCTAATTAATATTTAAGGAGCTCTGGTAGCATAGTGCCTAAGGCACTTGACTGCTAACCAGAAGGCTGGCCGTTCAAACCCACCAGCCACTCCTCGGAAGGAAGGTTGGGCAATCTACTTCCGTAATGATACTGCCTCAGAAAACCAAGGAGGGGTCGCTGTGAGTCGGGTCCAACTCGACGGCACATAACAACACAACAACACAATTAGTATTTAAATAAATAGGATATTCTGTTACAACATTGTGTTTCTTTCATTAGAGCATTAATGGTCCAATCAAATATCAGCATAGTGATACAAAAGGGAAACTGAAGACATAGCTGTAGATTATAGTTAATAGATATTAACCCTTATAGATACAGAAAGGTCTATATTAGTTTATATTCTTACATATTTTGTTGTTCAATTTTGTTTTTCATTATTATTTCTAACTACATTTTAGTGTCAGTGTTATATTCCTTTTAGCCGCATTCAAAATCTATTCTTAATTTTATGCCATATAATTAAAAGTGAAATTAAATTGCAATTTTCCTAAAAATAGCCATTTTAAAATGTTCTTGCTCTAACACAGCAAACTCTAAAAAAAATAAAGTTGTTTGTATATTTTCCATTTTGATTAATATCCTGGTAAAAAAAAAAAAGTTTATTTATTTTCACAAGTAACACTGTTAGAAGTCACAGCCTTGTTTCACAGAGATAACAGTATATAACAAGAGAGTGTGTGACCAGCACAATATCACTAAGGAAAAGAAAGACACAGAGAGGTGCACAAGAGGTACAAACAACAAAGATGAATACTATTGCATATACAATACTGTGTTATCAGTAATAACAAACAATAATCCATGGGTGGATACATAGGTAGACTGGCAAGAAGATCAAGTGTGGGTAGGTGAACAGGAATATATCCAGGCCTACACATAGGGTTGGCAGGTGATATGGCTACATACTTATTTGTATGTTAACAGGGGCCAAAGTTAGGATAAATTTTGAACCATTAACCCAACATCTAGAGGGATAAGTCACTGGGCCTACAGGCTCAGTACCATGGTTGCAGGGGACATCAAGCTCAGTGGGCACAACACAGTATATAAACATTATTCTGTATGCTATTTTGATGAGTAGCAACTAGGACCTTAAGAGCTTGCATGCTGTGTCTAAGATGGAACTATTGGCCTCTTCTCCTCTGGAGCAAAGCAGAGTCAAAATCAAAGATGTATAGAAACAATTACTCCAGAGGACCAATGGACCACAGGAAACTTAGCCTATGTGACCCTGAGGCGAGAACTAGACGGTGCCTAGCTATTAATGCTAGTCCTTGGAAAGAGATCAAAATTAGAGATCCAGGATAGAGTGGGGGGAGAATTGTGGAACAAATTTCAAAAATAAAGACCAGGATTACTAGTTGGATAGAGACTGTTGAAACCCTCTTCAGGCCTGGAATTGGACTCACTCATGTGGCTCAGCTCTCAGCCAAACAATGGGTAAACCTATGAACTGAACAACTACACCAGCTAGATGCATTCCTTAGAACTGTCAGCAGTATGAGATCAGTAGCATTTGTGCAGGGAGAAAACCAGGTTGGCAGGAACTCATAGGTAAGGACACAGGCAAGGGGTAACCACAGTTAGGCAGCAGGAGGAGAGCTGTAACATTGTGGAGATTGTAATCAGTGTCGTAAAAGAAAATATATGAACTTTTGAATATAAAACAAATCTGCTTTGTAAAATTGCACCCAAATCACAATAAAAATTTTACAAAAGAAAAAAACAATAGATAACTCGAGATAGCAATAGGAGCCTTGTGGTACAGTGGTTAAAACATTTGGTTGTGAACCAAGAGTTGGCCATTTGAACCTACCAGCCAGTCCACAGGAGAAAGATTTGGCAGTCTGCTTCTATAAAAATTTAAAACCTGTGAGACAGTTCTGCGCTGCCCTACAGTGCCACTATGAGTAGAAATTCACTCAGGTGGGTTTAGCGATAACAGTGGAACTCCTGCTGAAACTTTTGATCATTCATATGTGGAAAAAAGTGTCTTGAACAAGAAGAGCTGTGGCCAGTGTGAGATGTATACTACTTACATACCTCGTTAACTATTAATTTTTTATATTTTTTGTTTTTATTGATATCTTGAAATTTCTGATATTTGTTTACATTAAAAAGGAAGAATAAAATAAGTTAAAATATTTATTGCTAGATAGTAGTTATTGTAAGAATTCATCAGCATTCCAGTTTCCCTCAATAGATGGTAGTGTTGAAGCATACCAACTGAGAGAATAATAACAGACTGCAGATGGAGAAGTGTGTAGACATACTTACATAAAGTCTTTTGTGACATTTATTATAATGTGATCAACAAAGTAGTACTATCAGGAAATGGAAATGTGAGTAGTTATTATTCTAATTACTGAAAATGATACTAATCATAATGATATTTTTTCCTGTACATCTATAACAACTCACCATTGTATTTAAGAATATAGTGACTTTTTTTTTTTTTTTTTATGCTTATGCTACTATGTATTTTCCCCTTAGCACCAACACCAAGAAGTTTAAAATCATAAGAACTGTTGGGGTGATACTACTTCTTAATTTTACAGTAAACGTAATGATGTAGGAAAGCTGACTTTACCTTTGATAGAGTGTATCTTCATTTTCATTATTTTCATCTATCTAAGTATGTTGTATTTTCATTTGATAGATATTTATATGAGCGAATTGATGGTAGAGTCAGAGGAAATCTACGACAAGCTGCTATAGACCGATTTAGTAAGCCTGATTCAGATCGATTTGTTTTTCTTCTGTGTACCCGAGCTGGTGGATTAGGCATCAACCTAACTGCAGCTGATACGTGTATTATTTTTGATTCCGATTGGAATCCTCAAAATGATCTTCAGGTAAATAAATTCTTTGGCTAAGAAAATTTTAAAAACACGTATATAACTCTTTTTGGTAATTCACCTCATAATTTATCTTGATAACCTAATATGTATGTTCCTGTATGAAATTCTTGTGCACCTACATGCCCATCAGCAGAAGAGTGGATGACCAAACTATGGTACATACACATAGTGGAATGCTATGCAGCACTAAAGAATAATACAGAATCTACAAAACACTGCATAATATGGATAAACTTGGAGGACATTATGCTGAGTGAAATAAGTCAATCACAGAAGGACAAATATAATATAAGTTTACTGTTGTGTAGGATCAAGGAAAGGTTTATATATGGAGGGAAACTTTCTTTGTTGGTTGCGAGGGGTGGGAGGGAAGGGAAGGGAACACTGCAAAAAAAAATACATTGACCCATGTCACTTTAGTTTTGTGTATTTCACTGTACATAAATTATATTTTAATAAAATGCATTAAAAAAAATTCCTGTGTAAAAGAAAATAGGTGAAATTATTTTAATTTAATGACAGTGAACTATAATAAAATATACTTGTTTTTAAGATATACTTTAGTGACTTGTAAAGAGATGAGATGGTAAAAGATACAAAGCATACTTTAGTATATTTTACTAAATTACATTATGTAAATTCTTCAGAGGCTTTACCTTTGAGAATAACATACTTGTTGTAAGTAAAAGTTCCAGAATATTCATTACTCAAAAATAATTACTTGCTTTTCCTAGTTTCATCTTCTGAATTGTCACCTCTGTAGTATGCACAGAATATAGGTATACTATAGTATGCCTGTTTACAAAATAGGAGCTCTGGTGGTGTAGTGGTTAAGGCAAAATGTTAAACAAAAGGTCAGCGGTTCATCCCACCAGCTGTTCTGTGGATGAAGGATCAGGCAGTATGCTTCTGTAAAGTTTCACAGCCTCAGAAACCCACTGAGAGTCGCTATGAGTTAGAATTGACTCAATGGCAGTAAGTTTTGTTTTTTGGATTTTTATAAAAATTATCTGTAGAAAGTTAAGGCATGCCTATCATTTTAAGACTATGCTTGAACTTCGTAAATACATAGGGTTAGTAATTAGAGTGACCCGGTAAAAGTTGTAGAAAATGAACATCTAGGAGAGCTGTGAAGATAGAACATGAGATAAGAGAAACAGTTGTCCATGGTTGTTGTACTGTAACTACTTTCAATAAATAGAGCACCATTAGTAAATTGTTACCGGGACTATACCTGGCTTCATAAAATACAAATTTTTAAACTGCCACTTTCTTTAACTATATTTAATCTAGTTCAAAATATCAAAGGTTTACCTAAAATTAGTAGGTTAAACCAGGGACAAACTATTACTGTAGATGGCTAAATAGAAAATATTTTATTATTTGTGGGCCACTTTTGGGCTGCTGTTGCACATCTCTGTTTGACTTTACAAACTATTTTTAAAAAACGATTCCTACATAAATGTAAATCTGTTCTTCAAATACATAAACCATTCCTTGGGAACAATCAACTATACAAGACCAAAAGGGCAACATTTGCCCCAAAGCAAAGCTCAGAAGGCAGGAAGGGGCAGAAAAGAAGAATGAATGGAAACACAGAACCCAGGGAGGAAGTAGGTATTGTGTTCCAATATTGAGGGAATTGCATCTACCGTTACAAAACAAAATGCGTATAAATTATGGAATAGAAAACTAATTTCCTTTGTCAACTTTCACCCAGACCACAATTTAAATTTAAATTTAAATAAATTAATTAATTTAAAAAAAAATTGTTGACAGACTGTATTTGACCCAGAGGACTTGTTTTGCCAATCCCTAGGTTAAACCAGTATCATAATTATTTGCCTTTGAAATGTGTGTTTATACTTACAAATGACCAAAGGGATGTAACATTGTAAAAGTTCATGTGAAATAAAATCATATTGCTGGAGTCTGAGGAGGAATTAGAGAAACTGTCCTAGATTCCCCAACTTCTCTCTTTGGCTTCCCTCAGTTGGATTTTCCAACTGCAAGGAGCTCTGGTGGCATAGTGCCTAAGGCACTTGACTGCTAACCAGAAGGCTGGCAGTTCAAACCCACCAGCCACTCCTCAGAAAGAAGACTGAACAATCTACATCTGTAGACATACTGCCTGGGAAACCCAGGGAGGGGTCGTGATGAGTCAAAACAACTCAACAGCAGTGAGTTGTTTTTGTTTTGCTTAGTGTTTATAGACTGATAAAAATTTTGGCCTCTAATATATTCCATATCCTAGGTAAGTGTTGTGCATTCAAGATTCTGTGTACTAAAGAGCACAAAGTAGATATGGAAAAAATAATGATGTCAATGGAGGATATAGAATTAATGCTACTTGTAAATTTTTAAGCCACAGTTAATGATTTATCTGTCTCAATATGATAGAAAGGTGATTAAAATTTGGGGTAATGATGATAGATAGGTTCTATATAGCCTTTCCAGTCAAAATTTATACAATTTTTTTTATTGTGATTTGCGCAAAGATTTACAGAGCAAATTTATTTTCCATACAGCAGTTCACATATACTTTGTCTCATGTCATTGACCACAGTTTACCACAATGCAACAGCTCCCCTCCCACTTTCTCCCCATAGTTACCTCTTCCCAGTGTTCCTCCCTCCATACACTCCTGCCTCCTGAGCTATCTTCCTGTGCATAAGCAGCCCTTCTTTCTCCCATTATTGTTCTCTCCAAGGGGTGTATCTACTTGAAGTAAATGTTCAACTCATATTTTGTTTGGCTGGAAACCACAGGTATGGGTTCAATTCCAGACCTGAAGGGCAGCTAGGGGCTGTAGTCTCAGTGGTTCCGCCAGGCTCTGTCAGACCAGCAAACCTGGTCCCCACATTTTTTTTTTTTCCTCCAAATTATTTTGAGTTTTGTTCCACATTGTTCTCCCTCTCTATTAAGGGTCTCCTACATAGATCCCTTCCAAGTGGATGACAGTGGTAGCCAGGCACCATCTAGTTCTTCTGGTCTCATAGTTGTATAGGCTGAATATTGGATGGTGTACCAGTCGCTAGGACTAATTGTTTCCATGAATTTTGGTTATCTTCATTCTTCTTTGCTCTGGACAAGAAGAGACCCATCGTTGCATCTAGATGGCAGCTAGAAAATGTATATAAATTTTAAGTTTGGTAGGACACGATATAAAGCTTTTATGTGGTCTCTGCCATCCTCCTCGCTTCCAGCATTTCTAAATATTGAAGAATCTCTGTTTAAATAAATTTAAGTCTCCATTGTTATTCACCTTAGGGGTTATAATTTGTTTCTTTTCCTTCTCTCAAGTTCACCTTCCTTACCTAAAATACATAGAAAAGATTATCAACAATATACATGTTTTAGGGTTGGATTTTAAGTCTTTGCACCTTAGTTGCTATCAGCTAAAAAATCTTTTCATAGGGTTTATATGCCTTTCTAGAATTTCACTGACAGCACCCTCTTTAGAAAACTGTTCATGAATTTGAACTCTCTGAAATGTAACCTTAAATTGTAACTTACTGCAAATTGGGGCATCCTTTCTCATTCATGAAATCCTATCTTAATTTCTGGAAATGTGTTTTATGTAGTTCAAAAGGAAGGGTGTCTAAAAGTCCTTGTATACTTTGATATCTTTCATGATAATCCACTATTAAATGAATAGTGAAATAACTTGAATCAGTAACTTTTCCTTTTTTTATAGGCCCAAGCACGTTGCCACAGAATTGGTCAGAACAAAGCAGTTAAAGTCTACCGACTGGTAACTCGTAACTCCTACGAGAGAGAGATGTTTGACCGAGCCAGTCTGAAACTGGGTCTAGACAAGGCTGTCTTACAGAGCATGAGTGGAAGAGAGAGTAATGTTGGTGGTGTATGTATATTTTCTTTTTCACTTGGAGCTTTTGCATTATTTTCCAGTGCGTTTAATTTTACCTTGGGTAGCTTATTTAATTTTGCATCATACGGAATACTGAATAATAATATTTCAAGAAGAGACATTTTCAGGATAGAACTGTGCTTACTTAATACTTTTGAATCCTGCCCTGTTTTGCTCTTTGTTATTTGCTCTCTTTTTAAGATGTGGATTATGACATAACAAAATAAAATTTGTGTAGTTTCTGCATTATTTCCATAAATGTTTTTCAAAGTAATTGTCAATGTCAAACTATAAGCATTGGCTTTGTTTCAATGTAAATAATTTTGGGGAGGGGCATGGCATTTTTTTCCTCTAAAGATTCTTGTAGTTGTTATTGCTACAATATTTGAATTCTAGGACCAAAAAGAATTTTAATAAGTTACTGTACTCTTAGACTTTGTTTTATTAAAGACATTTTAGGGATATTAAAACAAACAAACCAAGAAATTCACTGCCATCAAGTCAATTCTGACTCACAGTGACCCACATTGGGTTTCCAAGGTGGTAAATCTTTACAGAAGGAGATTGCCTTCTCTTCATTCTGTGGAATGGCCTGGTAGGTTTAAATCACCACCCTTCTGGTTAGCAGTCAGATGCCTTTGGACTGCACCCCCAGAGCTCCTTTAGGTAATTCTTATATTATATGGGTAATTCTTATATTAAAGATACTCAGTAAGGAATGAACAATTTCACACTGTGTTTTTTCCTAGACTTTTCTTTTATTTGCATCCTAAATCCCAAGCACAATTTAACATTAACTCTGTGTTCCTTGACATTTTTTACAGATATTTTCTTATTTTATGAACTTTTAAAATATATATATATTACCAAAATTATTTTCTATTCAGATTCAACAACTTTCAAAAAAAGAAATAGAAGACCTTCTTCGGAGAGGTGCATATGGTGCCATTATGGAGGAAGAGGATGAAGGCTCTAAATTCTGTGAGGAGGATATTGATCAAATTTTACAACGTCGTACAAAAACTATAACAATTGAATCAGAAGGACGTGGGTCAACATTTGCCAAGGTAACAATGAGTGCTATTTTATAAATATGCCATCAATGTTCACATCTTCACTACTGAAAAAATTTAGCTATTTCTTAATTACTAATTATTTGCAAAGCATCTACTTAATGTTAAGATATACATAATTAACCTAAAGGCTGTAGGTAACCTTCTTTTCCTTCATTTTTTCTGATCTCTGGAATCAAATTTCGTATGTAATCTTCACATTCTAGTTAAATGGAATAAGGGTAATAACTAGAAATACTTATAAGTATTAGTCAGTAGATTTGAAATAAAAAAACATACATGGCACTTCCTTAAAAAGTTGGAAATAGAAATACCATTTATCCCAGCATCCCATTATTAGGAATATATCCTAAAGAGGTAAGACCCATGGCAAATAGATAGTTGCTCACCCATGTTCGTCAGAGAACTGTTCACAATAGCAAAGAGATGGAAGCAGCCTAAGTGCCCATCAACAGATGAATGGATAACCAAACTATGGAACATATACAAAATGGAACACTGTGCAACATTAAAGAATAATGAAGAATCAGTGATTCACTTCATAACTTAGATGAACTTGGAGGACATTATGCTGAGTGAAATAAGTCAGTCACAAAAGGACAACTATTGTATGAATACATTATTGCAAAATGTTAAGGTAAGGTTTGTACAGAGAAGGAAATTTTCTTTGTTGGTTACGAGGGATGAGGACGGAAAGGAAGAGGGAAAATAGATAATTAAGACATTGGTTTGATATGGGTGATGGGATTTTAAATATGAATTAACTATCAGTTGATAGTTTTTGCAAATAGGTTGTTGACATATGGGGATTCATTATACTAGTGTTCATTTTCTGTTTGAAATATTTTATAACAAAAAAAAAAAAGCAAAGTCATAGCAAAACATGAGTAATCGTTTAGGAGGTTGTCATCATGCATTAATTTGTAATAATTTAAAATACTGAATGAAAATAATTTCCCATTTCAATTAATATTTAAATCTAATTTCAGAGAGTAAATTAAATTTGTGTCTTGAGAGGAAGCGTTATTAATTGTCTGTCCTCCTAATCTACTTATTTGGAGAAAACTTTTTAAAAACTTTATATTTCTGGGGTTTTTTGTGTTTGTTTATTTTGTTTTGTTTTGGGGGCGGTATCTGTGTTCGGCTGGGTTTTCTCTAGAGAAGCAAAACCAGTAAAGTGTATATATACATATAGAGAACGAGAAATTTATCTTAGGAAAATGGCTCACACACTTATAGAAGCTGGTAAGTCCCAAGTTCTTGGATCAGACATCAAGCTGGAGGTGTTTCCTGACTCATGCAGCTGCAGGGGCTGACAGGCTCATGGTTGGCAGGCAGTATACCGGCTGTTGAGTCCAATGAATGACAAATGCAAGATCTCCAGACCAAATGGTGGATTGTTCACTCACAGACATTTGTAGGCAGCACAACAGGATCCTGATCCACAGATGAGTGTCTCTTTTCCTGGAATGTCCATAAAATATACTGGAAGCAGGTCACACTGCTAGGGAAATTCCCTTTCAACAGATTGGCTACTCAAAACATATACCTCTGAGCCCATCATGGGAATAACCCACATCACAATTGCTTAAACCACACAGAATTGTGGTCCAGGCAAGTTGACATACAGCTCCAACTATCACAGTATCTTTTATATCTTTCCTTAATCTAAAGAAGTATCTTTTTGTTGTGTTTTAATTTCAGTGACCTGTACTGATTCATAGAGGTTTTTGTCCTTTCCACTTTGCTTGCTTCTTTTCTGCATTTTCCTCCTTCTTCATTTGCTGCAGTCTGTTGTAGGAAGGAGGTCTGGTGGTGCAGTGGTTAAAGCATTTAGCTACTTATTGAAAGGTTAGTGGTTTGAACCAGCCATTCCACGGAGAAAGATGAGGTGGTCTGCTACTATAAAGATTTCCAAGATACCCTTAGAAATCCTAGGGTGCAGTTTTACTCTGTCCATAAAAAAAAATTCCTATAAGTCAGAATCAACCTTATAGCAGTGGATTTGGGTTGTAGGAAGATGGATTTCACCATTTAAAAGCCTTTCTTGCAAATAGTTAATGGATGCTGCATTTTAAGGTAAATTATTTTTGAGAAGCTAGGATATTAGGATTTAACATTTGAAAACAATCACTAACTCAGTATTTGATGCCCTTTTCTGAAACAAGTATTTTATTTTTGTAGGCTTTAATCCATTGTCACAATCCTAGAAAATGTGTAATGAATCTTGAAAATAGGTTATATGTCAGCTAATAATTGTGTTTTGAATTATTTTCAATTTTAGAAAGTTTTACTTGGGAAATAAATTTTATCCTTTCTCTTATAATGAATGTAACAAAAGCTAATCATGAAGTTTAGTTTGTTGTAGGGAAATTGCTTCAGTTACCAAGTTACCTTTTTCATATTTAATGCCTTTTCATTTTAAATGTTCTCCAGTTCATACAAAGCTCATTTGCTAGATTATTAAACTAGTGAAACTATAGTACAAAATAAAACTATATAAACTTAATTCAGTGAACTTCAAAGTTCCTAAAAATTGATGAGTTTATGTTGATAAATATTTGAAAGTAACTTATAAGAAATTGATTTTTGAGTTAACAAAATGAAGTCCCCTCATAGTTAAAGGATTACTAGAACCTAGTTAATCTCTTGTAGATATTCATTCATACCAGCATGATTAACTGTCATAATATATTTACTTTTATGCAATGATTGCTGTCTAGTTTTTATTTTATCAAACTTTGATCCTTTAAATTAGAAATTATTTTTTATAATAGGTGGTTTATCATGAGATGTGTCTTATTATGTTGGTTTCCTGTTGTCTTTGTACAAATCACTACAACTTTAGTGGCTTAAAACAACTCAAGTTTATTTTCTTACAGTTCTAGAGGGCAGAAATCTAAAATGAGTCTTGCAAGGTGTTGGCAGGACTGGTTCCTTCTGGAGCTTCTGAGGGAAAATCCCTTCTTATCTTTTCCACCTTCTCAGGCTGCCTGCATTCTTTGGTTTGGGGCCACCTTACTCTAATGTCTGGGTTCATCTTCACATGGCCTTTTTCTCTTCTGTAGTCAAATCCCCCTCTGCCTCTTATAAGGACACTTATGATAACATTTATGGCCCAACATATAATCCAGGATAATCTCCCCATATTATATCATTAATTTACTCATGTCTGCAAAGTCCATTTTGCCATGTAAAATAACTTTCACAAGGTTCCAAGGAGTCACTCACTGTTTTTGAGTTGGATCTGACTCATAGTGACCCCTCCTTGGGTTTCCGAGGCAGTATCACTACAGAAGTAGATTGCCCAACCTTCGTTCTGAGGAGTGGCTGGTGGATGTGAACTGCCATCCTTCTGGTTAGCAGTCAAATGCCTTAGGCACTACACCACCAGAGCTCCTATTAAAACAATTATATATGAAGTACAGGACCTGGATATCGTTGGAGGCTGTTATTCAACCTACCACATTCATCATTTAAAAGAAATTTTGACATTTGACTGCTAACCCAGAAGGTCAGTGGTTCAAACCCACCAGCTTGTCTGCAGAAGGAAGATGAGGTGATCTATTCTGTAATGATTTACAACCTTAGAAACCCATTGGGGTTACTATGAGTTGGAATATACTCGATGGCAGTGAGTTTGGTTTGGTTTATTTTTATATCTAAATAGTTTAGAAATGCTGTTGTTGTTATGTGCCATCGAGTCAAACCTAACCCATGGTGACCCCTCCTTGGGTTTCCAAGGCAGTATCACTACGGAAGTAGATTGCCCAACCTTCCTTCCAAGGAGTGGCTGGTGGGTTCGAACCTCCAGTCTTCTGGTTAGCAGTCAGGTGCCTTAGGCACTATGCTACTAGAGCTCCTAGTTTAGGAATAGTCATCTTGAAGTAGTTTAGTATTAAAGCTACTTAAGAGAAAATCCTGCCATGAAGATAAGGAATTTAAATAGATTTCATTAAAACAATTATTTCTGTTACTTCTTCTGTTTTATAAATATATTAGTATAATTCACACTTTTAAACACTTTTTTTACTTAAATACTTGCTGTGTACGACTCGGCACATAACAGCAACAACTTGCTGTGTACAAATTTCTTAATAACCCACTCTCAAAAGAATACTAGATAAAATGAATGTATTTATTTGATAAGCAATGTCATGACCAAAAATGTTCAGCAATTTGCATTTAAGATTTTAATTTTGTTCTTTAAAGAAGTTTTATAATTTATGAAATACATATGTAGACAGAATATTATAATTGAACTAGGTTTTATTATCAAATCATGCTAAACTTTCACAAGTACCTCACCCATCTTTCATATTATTTTGTAATATATCCCAGATACCATATCATCTGTATGTCATCATATCCTCTAATAAATGGTTTCATATGTATCATTACGGATAAAACCATTTTTAGCATAAATGTAATACTGTTCTCACATTTAAAAGTTAAATTAACAGTAACTCTTTAATATCATCAGTTATCCAGTATTCAAATTCAATTATTGTGAATGTCATAAATGAGTTATTTTCTTTTGACATTTGTTTTATCCTTTTAAATATATAATTTTCTACATTTTTAAATTCCACTAAGGAAAAGAATTTAATGAAGGTTTTTAATGTTTTGATCATAGTCAAGATAACTAGGCATTAAGTCACTTACCATTTATATTCTCCTTTAAACATTTTTCTGTATAACCATATTCCATGCATTGTTACGAGATTTGGCGTGCATTTTCTAGGCACTTTTCTTTCTTAAAGCATTTGTGTTTTCACTGCTTCTTTCATTTATGTAAAGCACTTAGACTTTTCTTTGATTTGGCATTATCTACTTTCAGGGCTTACTTTGAAAATTATGGTTATTCACAAATTATAGTGTTGAACTATAATGTCTAAAGTTTCTTCTAATGATAAGATTTTATCGCTTCTACAATGTTTAAGAAAATATTTATATGTTCTTCTTCTTCCTCTATTTTCTTAAATGTTATAATTATGATACAGTATTTTTGTGGTTTAAAAAAAAAAAAAAAAGCACACTGCCATCACATCAGATCCAACTCATAGTGACCCTTCCTTGGGTTTCTGAGATGGTATCAGTAGAAAAGTAGATTGCCCAACCTACCTTCCGAGGAATGGCTGGTGGGTTTGAACTGCTAGCCTTCTGGTTAGCAGTCAAATGCTTTAGCACTCTGCCAGTGGAGCTCCTGGTAAGAAAAAAGTTGGGTTTTTGTTTTGTTTCATTTATTTTCTTCTATATTGCATTTTCATAAGGGTAGGTGTCCATCTGTAGATATTATGGAAATAAAATAGGAGTATACCAGAAAATGGAACTGGGTAATACCGGCATATTTTTAAATTCTTATTTTAACCTAATATCTCAGTATTTGTTTAGTGTCTTTAGAATTCATATCTCTGTCCTGTGTCATTTTCTGGCCAATAAGATTTGACCCTTCCTTGCCAAAAGTTTAATAGTTAATAGATAGTAATAAGTTACTTAACTCTGCTGCTATAATTCTAACCTGTGTTGGTACGAAGCTTTCTACCTTAAACAGATACTGTGCTTTGTTTCAAACCATTATAGTTGAAGTATCCTTTGAATGTATTATGCTGAATTCAGATTCTATCCACAGTCAGTGTGAAGAGATTATCACTTTCATTGATGTTTTTCCTCCAAGCATCAAAACATTTTAAAAATTGCCTTATGTATTTCAGGCAAGTTTTGTGGCCTCTGGGAACCGAACAGATATTTCCTTAGATGATCCCAATTTCTGGCAGAAATGGGCTAAAAAAGCAGAAATAGATATAGATGCTATTAGTGGCAGAGTAAGTATTTCTTTCTCTTTAAAAAAAATTGCCTTTTACAGAGTATGCTTTGGTTAAATTATTGTAATATTTAAAGGTATTCATTTATGCCAGTTAATGAAATAAATTTCTGCAAAATAACTTTTTTGGGTAACAGAATGATCACATATTAAATCACACACTGCTTAAATTTAATACTTCTTTTTTATGTCATGATGTTGTTGTTGTTGCTATGTGCTGTCGAGTCGAACCCGACTCATAGCAACCCCTTTTTGGGATTCGGTTGTATCACTACGGAAGTAGATTGCACTACCTTCCTTCCAAGGAGTGGCTGGTGGGTTTGAACCGCCAGCATTCTAGTTACCATTCAAGTGCCTTAGGCACTACACTACCAGAGCTCCCTTGTATGTCATAGATTTGCTTTTTTAACTTTTAAGAATATCTTCAAGATCATAGGTTATATATATTTTGCTCTTTTACTTTATATTCTTGATACTCGGGTTTACTGTAAGGTGCCATTACATGGATCCAAGGAAATACAAAAGGAAAAGAAAACATAGTAAATAAAGTGGATTTTTAAGATGTTTCCTTAATGACTTCTCTTAGATCTAAAGAAAAAGGCAAGGGAGCTATAATTGAATACTAAGATATCTGTCTAATAATTGTACAGGGATCAAAATAACAGCTAAATGATTATCGTTCTGTTAAGTATTGATGCATCAGATCGTCTTTTGATAGATGGCCTTTAAAAATGTTGTTGTTGTTGTTAAGTGCCGTCGAGTCGTTTCCGACTCATAACGACCCCATGCGCAGCAGAACGAAACACTGCCCGATCCCGCGCCAGCCCCACAATCCCTGCTATACTTGAGCCCATCATCTCAGCCACCATATCAATCCATCTCGTTGAAGGGCTCCCCCTCTTTCGTCGACCCTCCACCCTACCAAGCATGACATCCTTCTCCAGGGAATGGTCCCTTCTTACAACATGACCAAAATAGGTGAGACGAAGTCTGGCCCATTCTTGCTTCCAAGGAGCATTCTGGCTGCACTTCCTCCAGGACAGATCTGTTAGTTCTTTTAGCAGTCCATGGTACTTTCAGCACTCTTCGCCAGCACCACAACTCAAAAGCATCAACTCTTCTTCGGTCTTCCTTATTCATTGTCCAGTTCTCACATGCATACCAGGCGATTGGAAATATCATGGCTTGTGTCAGGCGCACCTTAGTCCTCAAGGAGGACTTCACATTTGGCAGGAATAAAACCAATGCTATATTTAATCATTATTATTTAAAATATTATTTAAAGGTATGTAATTCTGTTTGAAACAAGTAAATTTGAAAAGGTAGTTCTAGAAATATTCTTTCTTATAAGACATATTTATTTGTCTACAAGTAGGAATCTGTAAAACACTATTAAAATTCATAACTGAGTTTAGTGATATAATTGGATAGAAGAGAAATATACTTTCTAACCTTCCTAAATATAGATACTAAAAAAGGAAGAAAATATAGTGCAAAAGAAGATGTACTTCATGGTAGAAAGAAGATATAGAAGATTTAAGAATACCTCTAGGAAGATGTGTAGGATTTCCGTACAGTGAGATACCAAATTTAATTGGGAAATTCATCAGTGAAAAAGAAAAATCTACATATTTTAAACATTTTAACAAAGTTATATTACAAACATTAGTTTTAACTCATATATTTAAAGCAACCAAATCAAAATGTTAACAATTGTTTCATATAAAAGGACAGTATTTCTGAATTTCCGAATGATGTATTATACAATGATAGTCATTGCAATATTGTTTATTATAGCAGAAATCTAGAAATCAATTGAATCTTTTATCCTGGAAGAATGGTATCTCATGCACTGTAGTGCAATAATTAGAATTACGTAGATATTTTTATGTGTTGATTTACAATGAGCTCCAAGACATATAATTGAATTAAAAATAGGGATATGAGATGAGATAACCTTTAATTATGATTTTTCAAAAGTACATATTGGTAACGCAAACACACACTAATAAACATTTACAAGTGTGGATCCAGTAAGAGGATACTGTGAGCCAGCACCAGTTTTGTATTGTTGTTGTTGTTATGTGCCGTGGAGTCGAACCCAACTCATAGCAACTCCTCCTTGGGTTTCTGAGGCAGTATCACTACGAAAGTAGATTGACCCATCTTCCTTCCGAGGAGCGGTTGGTGGGTTTGAACCACCAGCCTTCTGGTTAGCAGTCAGGTGCCTTAGGCACTATGCTACCAGAGCTCCCCATTTTTGTATTAGGGCTATGTAATGAATGAAACAGATGACTCTGAGCTTACATTCTGGTGGTTAAGACAGATAATAAGCAGCAAATAAATACATATGATACTTTTTGATAGAAAAATAGAACATAGTAAGATGGTAGGGAACACTTGAAGGAGTGAACATTGCATTAGGTAAAGTGGTTAAGGGATATCATTCTGAGGTGACATTTATGCTGAGATTTGAATAGTAAGAAGCTAGATACATAGAGAAGTGGCAGAAAGCTTTCCAAGCAGAGGAAACGAGAAGTACTAAAATCTTAAAGTGGAAATGAACTTAGCATATTCTGCAAATGGAAGATGTATGGCAGGATGTGTGTAGAGTTAGAGTCAGAGACCATAGATAGGGATCAAATCAGTCTGGCTGTCTAGATTATTTTAAAGAGTTAAGGATTGAAAATAAACATATTCATTTAATACTTGTGTAGTTACATTTTTAAAAATATATACATTGAAAATATTAATGAATCTTCTCAAAATGAAGTACAATGAAGACAGACTAATATTACTATGTTAAAATATTAAAATTTATAATTTAAGTAATATAGTAAAAGGTGAAACACACAGAACAATAACATAAAAAATAAAGTTTTAATATGGAAATGTTATTAGAGAAGGAGAGTTATTTAATAAATTATTATTAGAATATTGGGTTAGCATTGGCAGTGCCTTATAATAATATACTCTATACCAAGTAAAGCAGCTCTGGTAGCATAGTGTCTAGGCACTTGACTTCTAATGAGAAGGCTGGTTCAAACCCACCAGCCGCTCCTTGGAAGGAAGACCAGGCAATCTACTTCTGTAGTGATACTACCTTGGAAACCCAAGGAGCAGTTGCCATGTGTCAAAATCGACTCCGTAGCAGTGAGTTGGATTTTTTATTTTGTACCACGTAACTTCCAATTTCTGGTAAGAATTTTTGAAAGTTTCTTTAAATCAAAGTATAAAAAAATGGAAAAAAAAAAATAGATTTCTCTTTAGTGTAACCATTTGGGGAAGTACTGAAACTAAAGTCATCCCTTTGTATATATGAGTTCTGCATCTGTTGATTCTACCAACCATGGATGGAAATATATTTTGGAAAATTAAATGAATAAGTCATCAAAACAGTCCTTCAAGGCTAAGATTGAGCATAAAGCGCTATTTATGTAGGATTTACATTGTATTACATATTTCAAGTAATCTAGACATGGTTTAAAGAGGGTGCCCATGTTATATACAAATTCTGTGCCAGTTATATAAGGGACTTGAGCATCTTTGGATTTTGGAATCCTTTTTGGTCCTTGAACCAATCCCCTACAGATACTTTGAGATGACTGTACGTGTGTCTAGATCTCTAAAATATTCATGACCTTTCACTAATTTTTCTAATCTTAGATATTTCCCCTCTTTTGGATTTATATTTAGAATAGAATTAGATCACAAAACTTAATTTTAAAACTTAGAAAAATGTAAAATTATAAATTTAGTCTAATACAATTATAAACAAATTTAGTTTTAAATATATATAATGTTTATTGTGGTATTATAAGTTTGTATTAATAATAAAATGCCAGATATTTATCCTATAACTGTAAAGTTAGGAAATTACATATCTATTGTAGTAAGACTTTTAAAAAGGAGCATACTGGTATTTCAGTTTATTTGTTAAGTTGGCAAAACTGTTAATAATTCCTTTTTATCTGGCTGTCTTTAATTATTTTATTTGTACAATTTAAAAAGTAAAAACTGTTACAACCAAAATCATAAAACAACTTTTGTATAATATGTATTTAATTTTTCAGAATAGTTTGGTTATTGATACTCCAAGAATTAGGAAGCAAACAAGACCCTTCAGTGCCACAAAAGATGAATTGGCTGAATTATCTGAAGCTGAAAGTGAGGGAGATGAAAAGCCCAAACTCCGGAGACCATGTGACCGTACCAATGGCTATGGAAGAACTGAATGCTTTAGAGTAGAAAAGAATCTGCTAGTTTATGGGTAAAATATTATTTTTAATATCTGTCAAAACCCGTCTGATACAGAACTCAGAAAACCTTTACTGTTTTCTAATGTATTTTTTATTTTGTTATCTATTTGTAAAATCTACTTGAGATTAACCTGAATTTCTATGTTTAACTTATTTTTAATAGCAGAACGATGGGATATCTTTAAGTATTTAAATTATAAATGTATCCCCAAAGTCAGACTTCTTGTTGTTCTCATATATGCATATTCAACATACAAAGTACAGCATTTTCTAAATGTTACTGAATATAGTATACTAGAAATTACTGTACTATGGCTCTGCATTGTACTAATGAGGAAAAAAAAGCTTCACAAACAAATCATTATTAATAACAAAATGTTTTTTACATTTTTTCAAGACTTTTACCCTTGAGTTGTATTTTTCTTTAGAACTTGACTCAGTAGTAATGTACATATATCATTTTTTAACTAGGTGGGGCCGGTGGAGAGAGATTCTTTCTCATGGCCGTTTTAAAAGGCAGCTGAATGAGCATGACGTTGAAATAATTTGCCGAGCCCTCTTAGCATATTGCCTTATTCACTACCGAGGAGATGAGAAAATTAAAGGCTTCATATGGGATCTCATTACCCCAACTGAAGATGGGCAAACAAGAGAGCTACAAAATCATCTGGGTAAAAAAACATTGTTGTATTTTCTTTTAAGGTTTATTTTTAGTTGTATAAATAATATTTACCATATTTTTCTAATAAGATACTAAAACATTACAGATAATGTTAAAGAACTTTAACTTCCAATTTCTAATAGAAATTCCAACTTCAGAAAATACTAGTGTTATCAGTTGGGTTGTTTTCACGTATTTATTATCAAGTATGTATTGGTTTATAAGCTCAAAAGTATGTATTAGAGGTCTTACTAAAATTCAACTCATTTTTTAATATCCTGCTTAGTATACCATAGTATGGATATCCCATTATTTATTTTACATCTCCTTTAATAATAAGCATTTAGGTAGTTTCCATAAGGAGCCCTGGTCGCACAGGAGTTAAGCACTCAGCTGCTACAAAAAGTTAATCAGTTGAAATTCAGTAGTTGCTCTGTGTGAGAAAGATGTGGCAGTCTGCTTCCATAAAGATTACAGACTTAGAAACACCATGGACAGTTCTACTCTGTCCTGTAGAGTTGCTATGAGTCTCAATCAACTGGACAGAAATAGGTTTGGTTTTTTTGTTTTAGGTAATTTATCATTTTAGACAATTAAAAAACAAATTGCCAACTTCCGGTAAGATGGAGGAATAGGCAGACAAGCAACACAGACCCTCTTCAACAAAGAAAAGGAAAACCAATGGACAGGGATACTGAAGAAAATCCTGGAGCCCTGAGCTTTGAAAGGAACTATGTTGTTGTTATGTGCCGTTGAGTTGGACCTGACTCATAGCGACCCCTCCTTGGGTTTCTGAGGCAGTATCACTACGGAAGTAGATTGCCCTATCTTCCTTCTGGAGTGGTTGGTGGGTTTGAACCACCAGCCTTCTGGTTAACAGTCAGGTGTCTTAGGCACTATGCTACCAGAGCTCCCCGAAAGGAACTATACAGAAGTGGATTAGGCACCAACTAGTGGAAAAACCTGAACGAAAACAGTGAGTACAGAGACTATCAGAGCTGTGGACTGTCAGCTACCCTGACGGGACCAACAGCCTGAATATTTCCAAGTGGTGTTGGGACCTAATAATTGACCTAAAGTTCAGCCCTGGTCACCAAAGGCTGCAGGGATGACTGCGCTGGTGGCCTATGACTAGGAAGGGAAACAGCAAGGGGGGAGGCAACCTGAGCTGTTGACTTTCTGCTTTTTGCTGTCTGGAGCACACAGCCATTTTTTTTAATTGTTTTTACACATGGCAGCCATTTTGGATATTTAAAGTGACTGAGGGCACAGCCATTTTGAATCTTTACAAGTGGCAAATATTTTGGACTTTAAAGTGATAACATTCTCATTCGTATTCCAGGTACCTAAGAATAGGCTCTGTTTGCCAAGGTAGGTAGGGACATATGAGAGGCTGACAACAGGAAAGGAGACAGGTGGTGAGGGTATGAGTGCTGTCAACCAGTGCATAGAAGAGCACAGTAACCTGCTTGCATAGATAACATACAAACAAAACAAAGAAAAGAAAAATAGTGAACAAGTCTTACACAAGCATACAATTAAATTAAAGTCTCATACAATCACCAATTAAATATAAACACAGAAAACATCACAATGCCTCAGAGACAACAGAGCATCACAATCCACACAAAGAAGCAAGATAAAGCAGGACAATCAAGGGACCAGTATACAGACTCAAAACATATCCCTGAGGAAGATGCAGGATTGGAACTTCCTGATAAGGAATTCAAAGGAATTATATTTAGGTATCTTCAAGGAATTGAGAAGAGAGACCAAGGAAAACACAGACAAAACCCTACAACAATTTTGAAAGGCAATACAAGAACAAAATGACAAAATAAATGAAAAATTAGAAATGACACAAAATCTACAGACAGAAATCCAGAAGATTAACACTAAATTTTCAGAAATAGATAACACATTGAATGGGCAAAGGAGCAGAATTGAATCAATAGAAGATAGAATTAGGGAGAGTGAAGGCAAATACCTGAACACTTCTTTGAAAGAGGTAAGTCAGAAAAAAGATGAAGACAAAATGAAGAAAGCCTAAGGTTCATGTGGGATACCATCAAAAGGAATAACCTACATGTAATCAGAATTGCAGAACAGAAAGAGAGAAATAAAACCACAGAGAAAATTGTCAAAGATTTGTTGGAAGAGAATTTTCCTGGTATGATAAAAGATGAGAATATATCCATTTAGAAAGTCCAGCGAACCCTAAACAGGGTAAATCCCAAAAGAAAATCATCCAGACGTATCATCATCAAACTTAACAAAACCAAAGACAAAGAAAGAATCATGAGAGCAGCATGGGTAAAACGAAAAGTTAGCTACAAGGGGCAACCAATAAGACTAAGGTCAGATTTCTCGACAGAAACCATGCAGACGAGAAGACAATGGGCTGGTATATATAAAACCCTGAAAGAGAACAATCTCCAACCAAGAATTATGTACCCAGGAAAATTGTCCATCAAATATGATGGTGAAGTTAGGACATTTCCAGATAAGCAGAAATTAAGGGAATTTGTTAAAACCAGACAAATCTTACAAGAGATGCTTAGGGAGTCCTTTGGACAGAGAAGCAACAACAGCCAACAACAGCTGACCATTAACACATGTGATGACATAACCAGAAATCAACCCAGCTATGGAAGTATCCAAAGTAAATAAGCCTACAAGATTGTAAACAGGGAACCAGAGACAACAATTGACAAATGAGGACAACTACAAACCAAAAAGAGGGAAGAAAACTGTGTCATTACAGAACTTCTAGATGGTAGGGAAGTCAAGACAGCTACAAGATAGAACAAACTCTTCTAAACTTGGAAAGAAAACTATAAATCACAGGGTAACCTCAAAGAAAAATGATAAACCTTCACATCAAAAAAGAGGACCAGCATAAATATTCAACAAATACTAAAACAAGCAATGAAGGAAGTGATAACATGATTCATAAACAAGACGAGCTCAGCATAGAAAATTATATGGAACAAAGAAATCGACACTACGAAAAAACACATAACAAAAATGACAGAAACAAGTTCATATTCGCCAATAATTACATATCTGGCAAGGGTTTTATCTCTAAGATTTATAGCGGAAGGGTGTATGACCAAACTATGGTACATACACATACTGGAATGCTATGCAGCAGTAAAGAAAAATGTAGAGTCTGCAACACCGCATAATAAGGATGAACTTGGAGGACATGTTGAGTGAAATAAGTCAATCACAGAAGGACAAATATAGTCTTAGTTTGTTGTTGTGGAGGGTCAAGGAAAGGTTTATATATGGAGGGAAACTTTATTTGTTGGTTGCTAGGGGTGGAAGGGGAGGGGAAAAAAAATGCATTGATCCATGTCACTTTAGTTTTGTGTATTTCACTGTACATAAATTATATTTCAGTAAAATGCATGTAAATAAATAAAGTGCCATGATCATTGTACATTCCTCCTTGTACACATAAGTAACTATTTTACCAACATAAATACCAGGAAATGAATTGTGGAGTTACAACATACATGCATCTATAGTGCCTGAAGTAAGATCTTTGGATCAGCAGCATCAACATCTCCTGTGACCTTCTTAGAAATGGAGCATCTTAGCCTTAGACTTACTGATTCACAATCTGCATTTTAACATGTTCCCCCCAGTGATTAGTATGCATAATCAAGTTTAAGAAACATGGAAATTACACTTTAAATTTTCATAAATATTTTAATTTGCTTTTCATGGTGGGTATACCAATTTTCAGTACTGTCAGAGACCTATAAAGTGTTTCAAATCATAAATCTTTCCACAAATTATCTGTGATTTCACATGCCCTTCTCATTTTAACAGGCCTGTCAGCTCCAGTACCCAGAGGTCGGAAAGGGAAGAAAGTAAAGACTCAGACAAGCTCCTTTGATATACAAAAGGCAGAATGGCTTCGAAAATATAATCCTGAGCAGCTACTTCAAGATGAAGGCTATAAAAAACATATAAAACACCACTGTAATAAGTAGGTAGTAGGGTATTTTTAACAAAATTCTTTAAAATTTAATTTTTAAAAATTTATTAATAATCTTAAAGCATATGATTTTATGTACAGAGGCAACATAGTCTAGAACTAATTCTCTAATCTTAATCTTACAGGGTGTCCTTAGCAAATCATGGTATGTCTTGTATTACTAAAGAGAGAAATAAAACTGGCTTCCAAACAATTTAATTACATCTTATTTGGGCATTAAATAACCATCATTGTGAAGATTTTATAGAAAACTATATTAAATATATGGTAGTAATTAGTTTCATTTACTCAGTAATTATTTTGTTTTAATTTTAATTTCATGGATGAATTTTTTTCTTAATGAGTATCATCTTTGGGCCTTTTGATTTATTTTCCTTCATTTTTAGAGTTTTGCTTCGTGTGAGAATGTTGTATTATCTAAAGCAAGAAGTCATTGGAAATGAGTGTCAGAAAGTATTTGATGGAGTGGATGCCAGGTAATATAAATAACACGTTTATATTTCTTTTCCAGTAGCATGGTGAAACAAAAATTTTATGATCAGCAAATTGCGTATTAGGTGGCTTCTTATTTAGTGAAAGTAGCTCTATTGGTATGGTGGTTAAAGCCTTTAGCTGCAAACCAAAAAGGTCAGCAGTTCAACGCCACCAGTCACTGCTTCTTTAAAGATTTACAGCTTTGGAAACCCTATGAGTCAGTTCTACTCTGTTCTGTAGGGTCCCTGTGAGTTGGAATCTGCATGATGGCAGTGGGTTTGGTTTGGGTTTATTCAGTGAAATTCAGAAGACACAAAAGTTCACCAAATTTAAGGAATTAATCCTTGGCAAATTACAAAATTACAAGTACTATAGCTATCTCATATTCATGAAAACAGCCAAATTACCAAAACATTATGATTTATTATCTTTCATTTTGTGGCTGACTATGGCATTACTTGCATACAAAGTCAAAATAACACTTTGAGTGTTTTAATTAAATTGCGAATGAGAAACTTGCTATTTTCCTTCACTTCTAAACAATGTTTAGTTTTTCAATGTGATTTCTTAGCAGTTAGGGTTTAGCAGATCCATAACTTGCATCTCAGCCCTGTGACAATTCATTTGCCCTTTTAGGGCTTCGATCTCCTTGTGTCCAAAATGATGTTTTTGAACAGGTGATTTTTTTTGCCAGGATCTTTGCTGACATAAGATTCTACACTGAAATATAAATGGATTCTATTTCAATAAAGAACCCTTTTCTATTTCTAAAGAAAATCACTGCAAAGGATATGATTCCTTAAAAAAATTATATGGTAAACTTGTTGAAACTTACTTCTTCTGTTGAACCTTACGGGTATTCATTACTTCATTTTATGGTATCTTATGTTGCTATTCAGTTTTGGAAACCCTTTGGGGCCATTCTGATCTGTCCTATAGGGTCACTATGAGTCACAATCAACTCAGTGACCGTGGATCGATTAGGCTTATGTTGGTATTGTACAATTTTGTATCTTTAAATCATGGTAATTGTGGAAAATAATACCTAAAAACAAAATACCCCATTTTCTAAAAAATCAGTGACTTAGACACTAGTTAAAATTTCACCCCCTCTTTCACTTCTTTATAATAATTCATCATATACCATGATTTTATTTTTTAAGTGACATTGATGTATGGGTCCCAGAGCCAGACCATTCAGAAGTTCCTGCTGAGTGGTGGGATTTTGATGCTGATAAATCGCTCCTTATTGGAGTTTTTAAGCATGGTAAGTCAGAAGTGATGTAGGTCGGGTCCCCTTTTGCATATTGTATAATTTAAGTAGTTCTCAGTTCAGTGACTCCCACTTAAAGCATGATTCCAGTAGCACCTTGTTACTGTGTACAGCATTAAAACATACAGTGCCACTACATTTCCTCATGACACAGCAGGGTATGTGACCTTCCCCTCCAAGAGACAAGTAGTGTCATAACTTCCTCTCTCAAAAGGAGTTCTTATGTAAAATATATATTTAGCTTTTGCTATTTTTTTATATTAACTGGAAATTTTAATCCAAATTTTTATATACACATACTTTTAGATCATATAATGTTTGTGATTATTTCTAGAAAATGCATTTAACCTGTATGGTTTTGATAATATGGTTTCTTTACTCCAAGAATATCATGCACCATAAATATAAGCAATGCTTATATTGATGTACTTTTTTTATTTTCCATCCTTTCTACTTTTATAATTTGGTGATTCTTCCAGGTTATGAAAAATATAACACTATTCGAGCAGACCCGGCATTATGCTTCTTGGAAAGAGTGGGGAAACCTGATGAGAAAGCAGTTGCTGCTGAACAGAGAGCAAATGATTATATGGATGGGTATGTGCATCTCAGTGTCATTTATTCTTCATGTATCTTTAACTGCTAGTCAACATCAGCATATTCTGACGATGATGGTTGTCTTTAAATAATATGTCAGTAAGAGAGTTGGAGTTCACAGTCAAAAAGAACTAATGAATCTTCTGTAAGTTAGTACTGGTCCAGCAGAGTATGATCAACCAGGAAGAGATTAGAGCTGTCCCATACCGTTTGTTTTGATAAGTCCTTCATTTTCTCATTTTAGTAAGTATTTTATGACCGTTAAGGTTGTAGCATTCTAAGGACACAAGAACCAAACCGAACTCATTGCCAACAAGTTGCTTCTGCCTCATTGCGACCCCATAAGGCAAGAATAGTACACATAAAGAGAATTGCGATATTGTCCATGGCTTTTACAGTCTTTTTTTTCTTACCGTAACAGAAATAAGAGAGACTATGTTGATGTTATTAATACCATATTTAAAAGTGAAATTGAACTGCTTTCTCCCTACTTGCCATGTAACAGCTTTCATACTGTGACTTGGGCTTCTCTGGCTACAGAACAGGGACTTCGCTCTGACCTTTACAACAAACTGAAAAATCCTTCACTCAAGACTCCTTTTGTTTGTCCTATGAAGCGAAATCTTAAGTCCATCAGAATAATTATACATGTGTTGGTGTTTTAACAGGGATGTGGAAGATCCAGAGTACAAGCCTGCCCCCACTATCTTTAAAGATGATATAGAGGTATGCTCTGTTTCATCTTCTCAGACCCTTAATATTAGTTACTCCTTGGTTTCTTTTGTTTGCGTTTTCCTTTTCGTGTTTTTCCTTTGTGTGTTTTCATTGTAATAATTCTTTTGTTTCTCCAAAGATTATCTATGTAAGTGATCAACTTATGTTGGGAAACAATAATCATTCAGAATTTGTCTATCTCCCCTCCTAAATCAGCTGGACCCTGGTTTGATTATGTGGATGGAATGGGGCTTGCCCTGGTGTTATACTACTTTGGAACTACGAAATACAGTGTGCTAGGGCAAAATCTTAAAGAGTCTTTAGCAGAATAAGAACTAGATACTACAGGTATACAGCAACAAGTGGAATGTATTCCTACATAAAGAGGTTTGAAACAGGGTGAGCCTAGTAGAATTCTCTGATCTGTTAAAGCATATTTCTAAATCTTAAACAAAGCAAAAAGGAAAAGAAGAACTGGATGATAATACAGAAAGTAATCTGTGAAAATGGGGAAAGGAGGAATTTCTATAATGTTTGTAAGAACATGGTAAAAGACTTGATGACATGATAGCTGTCAGGTAGGGTTTGCTTGTCTAGGTAGCCAAGGGAATTGAATCTTGTTCCCTATATGAAGACGAAGACAAGAGGTTAGTCTTAGGTGAGTATGTAGGCAAGTAGAACTAAAATCCCTAATAAAGCCAGGACCCTCAAAGGGCAGTATTTTCTGCCAAACAGGGAAATAACAAATTTATCTCAGCATGAACTGTGGGTCCCTTTCTCTCTCTCTCTCTCTCTCTCTAGCTCACTGCTATCGAGTCATTTCTGACTCATAGCGACCCCTCCTTGGCTTTCCAAGGTGGTATCTCTACAGATGTAGATTGCCCAATCTTCCTTCTGAGGATTTGCTAGTGTGTTTGGACTGCCAGCCTTATAGTTAGCAGTCAAATCCCTTCGGCACTACGCCACCAAGTAGGAAAATTAAAATTGTCTCTGCTGGGGATTCATAGACATAGACCTATATTCTCATGGGTTTATGATTTTATTCTTTAAATTCACCTGTACCTTCCAGGAACTTTCAAATCAAAAATGCAGTATAAAGAGGCATCCCAGGCTGTTAATACCCTTGCGGATCCTGGTAACAGCAAAAAGGAGGATAAAAGAGAAAGAATTCTGGAAAACACAACCTCAGTCCAGACGATACTTAAATCTTGGAGATAAAGCCCTCCTTTAAATTTGGTCAAATCCAATATTTAAAAATATATGGTGAATAATTCACTGTGGTTGAATGTTAGCAGATTCAACCAAGAGCAAGGTTAGACCCTCAAGAACTTCAGATAACGGATCTATTGAAATAGAAAATAATACATTTTACAATGATTAAAGACATAAAAGAATCAGGAACAACAGAAAAAAGGGAGTGCTGTGATCCAACAAGACTAGGGAGATATGAGAATGACTTCTATGTAACTCAAGAAGCAGAAAGTATAGATACTAAAATTTAAAATTCAACAAATAAACTTGCTATTGGAGGAGCAGATTAGACACAACTCATGAGAGAAGAAATGATCTAGAAAATAAATATGAGGAAATTACCAAAATGTTGCATTCATAATATGATGAATGTAACAGTCTTGGCCAATCAGGGAAGAGAAAACCATACAGTAATTCAAACATAGAAAGTTTAATGTGAAGAATTATTAACTGTAATTAATGTGGTTGTAGTAGCAAGAGATTGGCTAGTATGAAGTAAAAAAAAAAAAAAAAAAAAACTCTAAAGAATATAGGAATAACAGATAAAAGGAGCAGCCATCACTGCTAGGGATGAGATTAACACCCAAGGAAACCAGGTAACCCCCTCCTCTGGCTAAGATCCGGACCTTTTCTAGAGGCGTGGCCATGGCTCACTGGATAGCATAAAATTTGCTGTGCTTCCACACCGGTGACACTTGATAGAAATCTACCCTCTAGGGTACCACAGAAAGCTTTTCCTGGGAGGATACCTCATGTGAGGTGCTCAGCTATAACCCCCACCGCCATGAGGCAGGGAGTATTAGGAAAAGCTGCTGGGTGCTATTGTATACTACTATCCACTGAGTCCTGAAATTACTTGCTGTGCAGAAGCTGGGCTTCGGGCAAGCTGTGCTGCAGGAGCTATGGGTGAGCTCCCTGGAACCAAGACAAAAAGTGCTTTTTCTCCTGCAGTGCCTCTGCTCAGAGCTCCTCCAGCTCCCTCTACTGACAAAGCTTACCATTGTACTGACTCATAAAGGAATAAAGATTTAAAGAGACCAGGCCCCTTATTAAAGCAGCAATAAATTTGGAGCTGAGTGTGAGTAAATCAACAACCAACATAGCATGATAATGTCACATATATATCTAATAGGAATTCCAGGACAGACTAGAGAGAATAAGGAAAAATAAAATTTGAAGAGATATCAGCTGTGAATTTTTAGACTTGATTAAACACATGAATCCTCAGATTCAAGAAATAAAGTGAATCATGGCAGGATAAATAAAACTAAATCACTCTAAGCCATATCCTTGGATGAAATGGTGTATAAACCAAAGAAAGATGAGATTTGAAAAGCAATAAGAGCTACCTACAAAGGAATGGCAGTAATTTTAACTTCAGGCTTTTCTAAAATAATAGAAACTAATAGCCATTGGCATAAATTCACCAAAATTTATTGGAGATGTTCTACTGATAAATGAAAATTTGGTCTGTAGAACAATTAAGTATTTTCAAGGCTGAAGAAGAAAAGACTTGTAGGTTGCAGTAATAACCAAGTAAAAACAAACAAACAAACAAAAAAACTCACTACCGTAGAGTCGAACTTGACTCATAGCAACCCCTCCTTCGGTTTCCGAGGCAGTATCACTACGAAAGTAGATTGCCCAATCTTCCTTCCAAGGAGTAGCTGGTGGGTTTGAACTACCAGCCTTATGGTTAGCAGTCACATGCCTTAGGCAGAGGTGGCAGATATGGAGGGGGGGAAAGAGTTGACTAACAGTAAAACCTAGGACATAGTCAACTGTTAGAGGATGGATGAGTGGAGGAAAGAAAACTGCCTAGAGGAAATCATAGAAGAAGAAATCATTTTAATAGATAATAACTGGTTTAAATTGTAGACGTCAACAGAAGTGGGACAGGATAAGACTTGAGAACAAAGAATTTTTGCTAAGTTAATCATTAAAAATCCTCTAACAAAAAAAATCTATTTTGTGCAAAGGTTGATTCTGTTTTCTTCTTACATACCTTGACCTGATTACCCTGTTATACATTTCTATTGTCTTTTCACAGGATGATGTTTCTTCCCCAGGAGATCTTGTTATAGCAGATGGAGGTAAATTGCATTTATTTCTTAACTTAGTAATACTGTAAATGCAGATTGTCTTGACACTGTGAGATCAATAAATTATTATGCTTTTATAATGTATATGAAATTTTTATTTAATACATTGTCGTTCTTATCTGCTGTTGATTCAGCCCCCAGCTCATGGTAACTTCATGCACAACAAAATTGGACCACTGTGATTGGTTGGGTTTTTGTTGGCTGATTTTTGAAAGTAGGTACCCTGGTCTTTCTTCCTACACTGTCTTAGTCTGAAAACTCCACAGAAACTTATTCAGCATCACAGCAACACTGAAGCCTCCGCTGACAGACAAAGGGGGGCTGCACTTGAGATGCGTTGCGTGGGAATGGAACCTGGCTCTCCTGCGTGAAAGACAAGAATTTTGCACTGAACTACCACTGTGCTCATTTAATACATTTGTTTAATCATTATAGAAGATACTAGATGATTGGGAAACTTCACAATATTTTCAATTATTAAAAATCTTTGTATATTGACTGTGGTAGTTATGTTTGTGTGTCAACTTGGCTGGGCCTGGTTGAGTAGCTGGGCAGCTAGTGGTAGTTATTCCCCATGATGAGACTGGCAATTAACTCCATGGTGGGATCTACCACAAGCAGCTGAGTATCTGCTTTTGGGATGTGGACTGCTCCCTGTATATAAGGAGAAGCCTTGGGAATGGCCTATGGCACACTTGGACCCTGCATATAGTTGTGTCATTGCTCAGCAGCCTGCTATACTCTGCCGACCTTGGGACTTACAGTGGACTTAAGTTAATGGCCTACCTGTGGTTTGGTAACATCGGGACTGTGCCTTTTTACTTGTCAACCTTGGGGCTTCTCAGCCTCAGCAGCCAGCAGCTGTCTGAGTAAAGAAAAGCCTTTAGCTCCAGTGGGCCAGGAGCAGAAGGCAGAGCTAGACCCCAAGGTTGAGGGGCTTTCACCCAGCCCCTTGAGCCTGGCACTTTGAACTTGGACTTAAATCCTCCAAAGTGTAAGAATAAACTCCTGTTTGTTAAGGCCATTCCATCTGCGGTATATTTCTTGTCAGAGTGGCACTAGGTAAGCACAACAGTGACTCACTGAGCTTTTATAGAGTAGGGGCTATCATGATTTTTATCGCTGGATTTTTAACCTCTGTGAGATTTCAGTATTAATGTGTTAGCTCAGTAATACATTCATATTCTAATTAGTTCCATAATGCACATGAGGGGCCATGTCCTATCACCCAGTTTCTACAAAGCTATTCTGCACAGCCCCTCCCTTTTCCTTCCCTCTGAAGGAAAGTTTGGTTTTAGCTCAGAGCCCCAGATACAGGTGAAAATGCAGTGTCACTCATTCCTGCCAGTGCCCAAAGGGAATAGTGCTTTACCCCTCTAATTGTTTAACTAGGGATTAGGGAGCAGTTTTTATTTGGAATGAATGATTACAGAATGATTATAATGTATATAATTTGAATATTGCACTATTACTTTATTAGGTGAATAAAGGTTAAAGGATACAACATTATAATACTAGATTTTATAAAAATATATTTCTATCTAATGACTTTAAAGGTGTTTTGAATCTAATTAAATTGAAAGGAATTTAATACATAAGGCTTCAATTAATAGAGCTTATAGTATTCAACTTCTCATGAAATTCACTTTGGTTTTGATTTATTTAAAACATTGAAATAATATGTGTTGGAAATGCACGAGTTATATTTTCTGTGAAAGTAAAGTTCTCTTGAAATGGATAACATTGTGGTTCTTTATATCACAGTGACCTGTTTATTTTGAGTTGTTCTTAAAGTTTGTTGTAATATTTTTGAAGCTATATAGTTAAAACTCTTCATGAGAAGAGATTTGGTAGAGAATTTTTGCTGCTTATGACACAGCATCTGTTTAGGTTTTTTTATTATTATTATTGACAAGAGTTTCTTTCAATATAGATGGTCAACTGATGGAGGGTGATAAAGTTTATTGGCCTCCTCCATCAGCTTTAACCACACGACTGAGGCGTCTCATCACTGCCTATCAGCGTACTAATAAAAACAGACAAATCCAGCAGATACCACCAGCTTTCTCAGTGCCTGCCAGTGTCATGCAGCCTCTTTATGAAGAAGCCACTCTTAATCCTAAAATGGCAGCAAAGATAGAAAGACAACAAAGGTGAGACAATGGTACTAAATTTTTAATACATAGTTGTTCACCTTGAAAGCTGCCCAGATGTAAGTATCTCCTTTTGTGAAAGACATTTATAGGTGAAGAATTACTCAACACAATGCTTTATGACATGTAAGTAGTCCCTGACTTATGACAAATTTAAGTTACAGAAAACTACACATATGACTGTCTGCCTTTTTATTATTTTAGTATATCTTATCGTTATCGTTAGTAATACGTACTACGTACGATGTCACAACATATAACTTGCTGATGTTATCATTCTCAGATATTCACTTACAGATGTTCAAAGATTGGATTTATAAAGATACTGCTAATAAAAGGCAGTAATAAATGAAACTAAAAAAAGAGGAACTCAAAATGGAACCCCATCATAAGTTGGGGGCTTACATATATATATATACATACACACACATGTACTCATAAACAAACATGGAAAAATTAATAAAGATAATTATATCTTTTAGCATATAGTTACTAGCTGCACTTCATATATAATTGTTTTACTAGGAGCTCTGGTGGTGTAGTGCCTAAGGCACTTGAGTGCTAACCAAAGGGCTGGTGGTTCCTCAGAAGGAAGATTGGACGATCTACTTCTCTAGAGATACCGCCTCGGAACCCAAGGAGGGGTTGCTATGAGTTGGATCCGACTCTACAGCACATAACAATATTGCCACATGGCAAATCTCTCCAAAAAATAGTGACTTCAAACAGCATCAATTTGTTATTTCTGATGATTTTGGATTTCAATTCTGATGTTGCATATGGTATTGACTGAGCTACTCAGATGACTAGAAGATCTCATAATGGCCTCACATGGTTGGCAGTTGATGCTCACTACTATCAGGGAGCCTGAGCAGCGAGGGAAGAAGATATCTTAAGGCCCAGTCTTGACAATTACATATAATGTCTCTACTGCCATATTCAGGAGCTCTGGTAGCATAGTGGCTAAGACACTTGCCTGCTAACCAGACAGCTGGCAGTTCAAACCCAACAGCCACTCCTCGGAAGGAAGGTTGGGCAATCCTACTTCCGTAGTGATACTGCCTCGGAAACCCAAGGAGGGGTCGCTATGAGTCGGGTTTGACTCAACAGCACATAACAACAACAACAACGACAACTGCCATATTCTGTTGATCAAAATAAAGTCACTGGGCAACGCCAGATTTAAGGCAAAGAGTAATAAATTCCACCACTCAGTGGGAAATGTGGTAATGGATTTGTGGCCACCTTTAAACTACCACATACATTTTCCTTTGATCTGTCAGATCCAAATTAATCTTCCTAAAATTTTATCAAAACATTCTCCCTTTTTGGTATAAAGTCTTAGAACTTAAGCCTAAATTCATGGGTCTTTGTAATTTAGGCTTTGGCATTCATTTCTAATCTTATCTACTACTGTTTGCTCAGCCAGAATGTCTTACTATTTCTTGACTTAATACCCTGGCTTATGTTGTTCCTATCACATGAAATGTCCTTCTGCCTACTTTATCTAGTTTATACCTTCATAGCTTAGCACAGGTCCCATGTCCTCTGTTAATTTTTTCTCAACCAGTCTAACTCACTCTTCTTTCCATTTTCTGTACTCATACAGCTCTTAACTAAATAAACTACTAATTAATTCACCTCAATAATAAAAGATACTATCATGACAACTGTCTTTTCATATATTTTGTAAATTCTTGCATGGTAAGCACTGTGTCAAACTTTTTGATACACTGTGTAGATTTTTAGTTTATCTTGTTCAAGCTTTTATCACCCAGGTCCAGAGTTATGACTTTACTAGCTTCCCAGGCTGACCTATTTTTACCCATTCATCATTAGATTAATCTTCTTAAGGCATCAGTGTAACAATAATGGCTCCTTAACATTTTTCAAAGATTTTTTCCTTTTTTTTTTTTTCTTGTTTAAACAACAATCTCATGAATTATGGAGAATGTTATACAAATAGATAAATTGAAGGCATGTGATGATAACATTACCTTCTTAAAGTATCTTCAGAAGTTTTCAACTGAATAGAAACTATTTTTAGCTATGTATTTAGAGCTTATTGTAATTTGATGCCTAACCGTATCTCTCTGTTCTCAACATAAGCCATATCCTTGTCCGTCTGCAATACTTACCATTCCCCAGCATGCAGTATGCTCCCTACTTTGTGCTTACTTTATGCCCTCTTCCTAACATTTACTTCCTAGCCATAACCTTGTCACATATTAAATGCCACTTTCTCTGTTAATGCCTTTCTTGGTTACCCACGTCAAAAGTAATCATTCTTTCTTCTGCTCGCTTGGTTTCTATAACTGATACAAGTATAAAATACTATCTTATGCTATAAATATGTTTTATCTTCCTCCTGAAGACAGAACTACATTATCTTATATGATCATGTATCCTGTGATTGATTCCCTTACTAGTAATTGTGGAATAAATTGTTATTGTCTGAAGGAACAATGTATACTAATAGAAATATGTTTGGATGAAAGAGTCAAGTAGCCTTTTAAAATAAATTTACTCGGCAATAATCATGGATTTAAACCATTGAAATATTTAGGTGCTTGAATTGTTTGTCATTATAGTCATTATATTCAGTGTTAATAAATATTTATTTTAATGACCTACATAGTTTGTTTGTTTTTAACTTCACTTCAAAATAGATGGACAAGGAGAGAAGAAGCTGACTTTTACAGAGTTGTATCTACATTTGGAGTGGTATTTGATCCTGACAGAGGCCAGTTTGATTGGACAAAATTTAGAGCTATGGCTAGGCTGCATAAGAAAACTGATGACAGTTTGGAGAAATATTTGCATGCGTTCATGTCCATGTGTCGGAGGGTTTGCCGTCTTCCTTCCAAAGAAGGTTTGTGTAAAATTTTCCTTTTTTTTTTTTTCACTTCTCTTTTCCTGTTTTGGTCAAAGTAACAAAACCACAAAAATGCAGAAATTTCCAATTATCTCTTTTATTGGATATTTCAATACCATCTAATTCAACATGTCAGCAATTTTTCAAAATTATAAATAAGCTATGCTAAAACATCTCTTATTCCTGTATTCCTAAAATGAGATATAAAAAGAATAAAGGTATACATTGAATTTTGAAAAAATAGCTGGTGTTTACTATTAGGTTTATGATTAAATGGACGTGGAAGGTCCATTTAATCATATCTTTTGATTTTAATCATTATCTTTTGATAAACAGAACTGTATTTTGAGTCCATCTTATAAGAACAGTGTTAGAGGGCTTATGTACTTGAAAGATTTTGCAAGGAATACAGATCCCACTCATAAGACAATGTAAAGAATTTTGGGATAAAAAGATCTTCTCCCAGGGCCTTCTTCAAAAAGACAACAAATAGGAAGTTCTAATGCTCAGTTAAGGAGCTGTTCCGGTGTGAATTACTTTGTTTTTAAAGCCCAGAGAAGTAGCACATCCTATCACCAGTTCTTCTCAATAACACTGTAAGCATTGACTTTTCTTTATTGGTTATGATTCCTGACTGCTAAACTCAATGGCCTCCTACTTACATTTAGTAGTAAAAATCCCTCCCTCACTGCCATCGAAATCAACTCTGACTTGTTAGTGACCCCCTTTGTGTTTCTGAGGCAGTAAATCTTTACAGGAGATTGCACAGTCTTCCTTCCGTGGAGTGGCTGGTGGGTTTGAACCACCAGCCTTCTGGTTAGCAGTCAAATGCCTTATGCAGTATGCCACCAGAGCTCCTTAAACTAAACTCACTGTCATCTAGTTTATTCCAACTCACAGTGATCCCCAATAAAAATATAAGTGCTTTATAAAAAGCACTTTTCTTAAATTTTATTAAATTCCGGTTGGGTTGGTTGGTTTGCTTGTTTTTGTATTGTTCCCTAACAGTTTTCTTGTCAGGCCACTGAATAGAGTAGCCAGTCCCTTCATTATCCAGATACCAGGTAAGTTGGGGCAGGTTTCAGTCTACTTTAAGGTCTGTTGATAGACCCAGAGTGGGTTCAAAAGACAAAGTAGTTAGGGTTGGGGAGGAGGTTTAATTACTAAATAATCATTGAAAAAGTAAGAGTTCCTTGCTAGATATGTAAGTGAGGTTTTACAGAAACCAGGAGTTTCCCAAACTCTCACTTAACAGTGTTCATAGCATCCTCGACCAAAAGAACTACCGATTTTATTTAAAGTGTGATTAGGCTTAAACTACTTAATAAGTATTTATGACCTAACAGTCTAGTAATTGAAAAAAAATTGAAAGAAAATATATTACTTTTATTGCTTAGATAACCACAATTATTTATTAATAGGATGTGTGCACTTATTAAGCACTGTACAACCTTTCAAAACCTGGGATCCAATTGGACACCACCACCCTTGCTTCCTTTCTATATTGATTTTCTCATGGTCTTATTTATTTATTTATTTATTTAAACTTTTTGTTTTGAACTGCTTTTAGACTTACAGAAAATTTGCAAAAATCATCCAGGGAATTTCCATATGCCTCTCACTCTACTTCCTCTATTGTTAAAATCTTAACATGGCTGATTATAAGATAATTGTCAGAACCAGGAAATTAATATTAGTATAATACCATTAACTAAATACCTATTTGAATTTTGCCAGTTTTTCCAGTAGTGTCTTTTTCGTTTTAGGATCCCACATTACATTTGATTGTTATTTTCCTTAGCTTACTGTAGTCTTTAACACATCCTAAGTCTTTCCATGTCTTTCAAATCTTGATCCCTTTGACACATGTTAATCAATTATTTTTCCATATATCCCTCAATTTGGATTTGTCTTGTTTTCACATGTTTGGATTGAAGTTATGCAGTTTGGGCAAGAATGCCACAGAGATGATATTTCATGCCATTCATGATGTCAGTATGTCTTAGTGCTCATGAGGTCGGCCTTGATCACTTGGTTAACATATTTTATTCTGGATTTTTCTGCATTGTAATATTACCTTGTTTTTCCCTGTGGTTAACAAATATCTAGAAAGAAATACTTTGAGGCTATGCAAATCATGTTTCTCCTTAAGCTTTCAACCATGGATTTCAAATATCCATCAGTAGGTCTTATAGCAGTTATTACCGTGGGCTTCCCTATGAGGAAGAACTCCATTTCCACCATCTATCTAGTTAATCAATTCTTTATATTAGTATGATCTCAGGGATACTCATTTTACTCTGGAGGTTATAATCCAAGACTGTCATTATTTTGTTGCTCAGATTATACCAGTGATCATTGAGAGCTCCTTCAGTTTGGTCCCTGCATTCATTCAATAAGCCCTGTCTTTTGTTTGAGAACTTCTCCACTGCCAATAATCTAGCTTCACAAATAAAGAACATTATTGAAAACAGTGTAACATGATCTAATGTTGAAATTGAAATATCTTCAATTAATAGCTTGTGCAGATGTTCCTGTGTTTCCCTCAAAAATTTCAGAAACCGTTGGTGCCCCTTTGAGTTCACTGCAATGACCTGTGTTACATCAGTAGAATTTGAGAAAAGCAGATTTACATTTTTTTCTGAAGTATCATTTAACATTTTAAATTTGTATTTATAAGTGAGTTTAGACAAATATTTTTCTCTTTAAGACCGTTATTACCAAAGTCGTAGCTCAAAGGGAATTTTTTTAAAAAATAAATCCTAGTTATGTTAACATACTTCGAAAATAGTCTTATGTTTTACTTACTTTCAGAAGATCCAATGTTCTATATATTACATGATTTCTAGTACTACTTGTTTTAAAATGTGTATTTCTCCTCATTTAAAAATATTAGGGAAATACTGGAAACTATGCAATGGTATTAAGTAGAAATATATTTAGAAGTATAAGTATCCCCCCTTACCTTTCTCAAAAGACCTGCATTAACACCTGTTTTCGCTAACCGAAACCTGAGTATGATTTTCACTTTTACAAGAAAAGATTGAAACTGAAATTAGTGTAGCCAGCCATTTAAGAGACACCAAAAGTGATGTTGCCAAGCTCCTTCTTCAAAAGCTACACTCAGTATTTTAACATTAAGCCGCCATAGCTTTGAACTATGTCTGTGAATACTCTATGTTGTTGTTGTTGTTAGTGTAATTTTACATTTTATGTGTTATTTGGTAGATTAATTTTTTAGCTCTGGAATGCTCAAAAATTTTTCCCATATACATTAATGGTAATTGCTTTTTCACTTTATGCCTGATTGGCTAATGACAAGTTTCATAAGAGTGCTCTCCTTTCAGATAGCAGGGCAAATCTATGTATTTTAGAAGTATTACTTGTTTTAAATACAAAATGAAATAGTTTTTTGAAGCTAATTTGTTTTTCTTGTTTAATACAGAGTTGGTAGACCCAAATATTTTTATCCAGCCAATCACAGAAGAACGTGCTTCTCGGACTTTGTATCGCATTGAACTTCTAAGGAAAGTACGGGAACAGGCTCTCCGACATCCACAGTTATTTGAACGCTTAAAGCTTTGTCATCCAAATCCAGACTTGCCAATCTGGTGGGAATGTGGCCCTCATGATAGGGATTTGCTTATTGGAGCTGCTAAACATGGGGTGAGCCGAACAGACTATCACATTCTTCGTGACCCTGAACTCTCATTTATGACAGCTCAAAGGAACTACAGTCAAAGTAAGATGGCTCATTCCAGGACTTCTACCCCACTTTTACAGCAATATCAAGTAGCACTTTCTGCTTCTCCCCTTACCTCTCTACCTAGGCTCCTAGATGCTAAAGGTATAATTCTAGAGGATATGAAAGTTAAAAGTGAAAACCTTAAAGAGGAGCCTCAGTCTTCTGAAGAAGAATCTATATCTTCTGAGGAAACCAGGACACTAATAAAGTCTGAACCTGTCAGTCCAAAGAATGGTGTTTTACCACAGGCTACTGGAGACCAGAAATCTGGTGGAAAAGGAGAAACAGACAGACGCATGGTTGCAGCCAGAACAGAACCTCTAACTCCAAACCCAGCTTCTAAGAAACAGCGAGTCCACAAAAGAGGGTCAGAATCTAGTTCTGATTCTGACTCTGATTCTGAGAGGTCATCTTGTTCTTCCAGGTCCTCTTCCTCCTCCTCTTCCTCTTCCTCTTCTTGTTCCCACTCTCGATCAGGCTCTAGTTCCTCTTCATCCTCATCTTGTTCTTCAGCATCGTCTTCTTCCTCCTCCTCTTCCTCTTCCTCTTCTTGTTCCCACTCTCGATCAGGCTCTAGTTCCTCTTCATCCTCATCTTGTTCTTCAGCATCGTCTTCTTCCTCCTCCTCTTCCTCCTCCTCATCATCCTCTTCATCTTCGTCAGAAGAGAGTGACAGTGAAGAAGAGGAAGTCCAAAAGCGAGGTATATACATAAATTGATTTTACCCTTTTTATGACAAAACTTCACATGAAAATGAAAATTAGAAGAGCATGTTTAAAATTTGTGTGTACATATTTTTTTTAGAGATGTGCTATTGAAAAAGGAAACTAGTAGTACTGAAACACATTTCCTATTCAATAGAATTTCAGACATTGCAAAATAGATTAGCCAGGCTTAGGAATTAGAGATATTACACAATAATTTTCTCTCTAACTGCCTCAAATTTAGTATTATATTTTTCCCTGGAATAGGTTGATCAGTGAATAAATAAAAGATAATATTTTATAGCAGCCACTAGCCATTTTCCTAGATTAAACAAAACATTCAGACTCACAAAAGTATCAGGCCACACTCAGTACCCATCTACTCTGAAGACTAGAGGACTGGAACTACAGCTTGTCAACAAAGATTATTAAGTGGTCATATTGTGCAGGTATCTTTGCTGCAATCCATGGTTCAGGTGCAAGGAAATGAGGCCACATTGAGTGGGTATAGGAGCCGCTCGGCCTTACAGAATTTCATACCATGGGAGCCAGAATATTGGCACAGGGACATGTTTAGTTACAAGAGTCATTTCATGGTGTCCCCATCAGGTCTGTGTAGTCCTCCAAGTCCAGGTGCGGTCGTCACCCAGTCAGGAGTCATTTTCATCAAAGCAGTGCTGCCTGTGACAGAATGGTCATATTCTATCAGCACATAGCAACAACAACATCTTCATCAGTTTCCAAGGAAACAGACCTAGGAAGTTCACTGTCGGTCCAGTTTTCAGGGGGGTTTTTTTAATGCTAATTTTTAAAATAATAAGTATTTTTTTCTCTTCTGGATGAATTTTCCTTTTTTATGATTTGTTTTTACTTTTTAAATATATCTAAATAATCAGACAAGATTTGAAAAAATACATAAAATTACTTTATGCAGTCTTGTGTAAATGATCATTATTCTTAGCAGAAGGTACCCCTCACATGAAAGCCTATGATGAAGAAAGTGTTGCATCACTGAGCACTACCCAGGATGAGACTCAGGATAGTTTCCAGATGAACAATGGGACACCAGAGTCTGCTTACATATTACAAGGTGGATACATGCTTGCAGCATCATACTGGCCAAAGGTAAATGAACCTTTTCTTGTTGGGCTAGGCCATTTTTCTGAGTATTCTTCTATATTATTTTAATGGTAGGTACTCTTATTATGTGGAAAAATAGGTCATAGGAAAATGCAGGATGACATTTCTTACTGTGAAGTGCATGTAGTCTACGTAATGTGTGTATTTCTTGACACAACCTTAAAAGGTTTAGAAGAAATGATAATGAATGTTAATGTTCACATACAAGTTAATATTCAAGTGCTTTTGTATGAAAAAGGTATTTTCAACTGAGTCTTCTTGAGGAAATTTACTGTAGGCTATTGTGATCTAGGAAGAAAAGTTCATTTTACGCACATGTTTATTCAGTAATAGAAATAGTTAAGATTGGATTAGTACAGTCCTTCTCCCAGTGTGTGACTAGACTAGTACATTTTAAATTTTATTTGTCATAGGTAATATTCTATGTAATTATAAAATTTTAAATTATGATTCTTTGCTAATCTCCTGGGGAAATTGTAGCTTCTCATTGTCATAATTTACATTACATTGATTATTAATGAAGTTCAGCATCTTATACTAGATTCTATATTAAGACAGTGCTACCTCTGAAGCAGAAAACCTTCAAGATTCTTAACATTTCTTATGCTTATATGCTAAGTTATATAATTCTTGTTACTAAATAAAATGTGTAAAACACATAATTTCAATATTTATTTGTAAATATTTTATTTTAAAATTTAGAACCAGTATACTTGAAAGTTTAGAATTCATACTTGTGAGCTAATATAGTTTTCAAATTGCCTCTTAATTCACATGAAAATACAAATGGCCAAAGAAATATGATAGGATGCTGAACTTCACTAATAATCAATGTAATGTAAATTAAGACGTTGTTGTTGTTATGTGCCGTCGAGTCGACCCCGACTCATAGTGACCCCTCCTTGGGTTTCCGAGGCAGTATCGCTACGGAAGTAGTATTGCCTAATCTTCCTTCCGAGGAATGGCTGGTGGGTTTGAACCGCCAGCCTTATGGTTAGCAGTCAAGTGCTTTAGCTACTATGCTACCAGAGCTCCTGGTAAGACATTAAGAAGCTTTAATTTTTCTATGAGATTAACAAAGAGTGATAATTTAAAGTTTTGGTAATTACATAGAAAGGTATCAATAATGAATAAAATTTAAGAAGTATATTTCACAAGAATAGATGTACAGAAAAGTGTTTAAAAGACTTCATAGCAAATTGTTATCAGTGTTTACTTCTGGGAGTAAAGTTGGGAAATGAGAGTATGGAAGATTCTCTACTCTTGTAGATTTCTGAGTTGTTTAACATTTTTATAATGAAGCTGTATTACATTTGTAATTATAAAAATAAAAGAATAGAAAGAAAAATGTACTTAAGACATAATATTTTTGAACCTCACCAAAGGTAATTTGTACTTGGATAATATCTTACAGATTGTAATATGTTTATGAGAATATATATACATACTATATATATAGTACCAGTTTAAATCTATGAAAAATCTTGGGTCACTTGGTCCCCAAAGTTCTGGCCTCATAATAAATTATACTTTGATGTTGCATGTTTTTTCCAGGATCGTGTGATGATCAATCGTTTGGACAGTATTTGTCAAACAGTTCTGAAAGGGAAGTGGCCTTCAGCTAGAAGAAGTTACGATGCTAATTCAGTGGCCTCTTTCTATACCACCAAACTGCTAGACAGCCCTGGAGCAGCTACAGAATACAGCGAGCCAAGTGTACCCACTCCCTCAGGTGCAGGTGTTAAAGAAGAACATGATCAGTCACCACAGATGTCAAAGGTGAAGAAGCATGTACGAGAAAAGGAGTTTACAGTGAAAATCAAAGACGTATGTTTATTTTTATTGCCCTAGGACCTGATTGCGATTGCGGTGTGCAGCATGCTTTTCCTGCAAATGGCTGCCTGCTCTTACTCTTACTTCCTTCACATACTTGTTTTTTGGTATTTGGATTGGTTTCTTTTTGATATCCAGGTTATTACTTGAGTATTCTACTAGAGGTATCATCATTAAATATGTTCTCTCCCTATACTTTCTAAAATACTACTTATGCTGGTCAAGGTGCTTTCTTAAATAGTCTGACAGCTTTTAACCAAGTTGGTCCTTTTATATAATATTGAAATTGTATGTCAGTGCATTCATCTGTTTTAAACATTTAGCATGCACTGTTATCAGTAACATTTCAGTTTTTAGTTTGTTTTTTTAAAATAAATTAATTACTCAATGTCTAGAATATGGGTAATTTCCTCTAAAATACAATATGAATAATCAACATAGAAATGTATGGCTAACACTCACAGTGTTGTAATGTGCTAGTCACATGAAAAACTATTTTGCTCAGGAAAGTGTATATAGAGTGAGGATTTTTTTTTCCTCATTTAGGATAGGAAATTTAATATTTGTTCTATAACTTAATTTATGTTTCAGAGTTTTTACTTAAGTCTTTCAAAGTGAAAGAATACATATATACCATAGTATCCTACAATAAGATTAACGCTTTCTTTCTTAATAATGGTATTTGTTTAACAGGAAGGTGGTTTGAAATTGACATTTCAGAAGCAAGGGCTTGCTCAGAAGAGACCATTTGATAGTGAAGATGGTGCTCTGGGGCAGCAGCAGTACCTCACTCGCCTTCGGGAGCTCCAAAGTGCATCGGAGACCAGCCTCGTCAATTTTCCAAAATGTACACCAGTATCAGGTGAATATGCAGTTAAAAATTCCTTAATATGTGACATCCTCTATTATTTCTGAGTCTTTGTTAAACTCCTATAATAAAATCTCATTTACCTTTTAATGTTGGAATCTTTATTAAAGTCTATGAAGTGATCAGTATAATTTTGTTTTAGCTTTTAGATCTTAATAAATATATATTGTGTGAAATATCATTTTCTAAAGTCACTTTATACAATTACAAGTTCAAATTGTCATTGGTTAGAGATGTTAAAATGTTAAGGTTTAGAAAAACTTCAGAAGTGGTATAGTCTAGGCATCTACAGGATACAGGAATTGTTTATGACTCACCCCTGAAAGATTATGGAATATTTGCTAAGACAAAGATCTTACTAGATTAAGAAGCCCTCAATTTTGTTAGGCAGATGTAATTTCTCCTTAATATTTAGAAGCAAATTTGGCCTGTTACACATTCTTCTCAATGACTAGATTTCTGTCTTAAAGCCAACCCAGAATTAATCTGTTCCTATGTCTGTCTACATGCTAAATCTTCACATTTTGAAAGCAGTTTTCATATTTTTCTTTGGGACTATATTTCTTTGAACTTTTTAAAATTTGAGTTTAAAAATATTTATTAAGTACTTAATTAGTGTTACATACTATATTGGCATTTAGGGAATACATCAAAAGTTTCTTTATTTTGTTTTTAATCTTGATCTAGTTGTACTTTAATTTGTCTGTGTCCCTCTTAATGTTTTGTTTCTATAATTGAGAATGGTACTTAAGATTAACTGAGGCGTAATCTGTCTGTGTACCATAGCATACTTACCCTCCAAAAGGCATCTTTCAATTAAAGCAGGTGAATAGCTTCAGTGTCCTTTATATTTTCCTTTACATAAATAAGGGCTAAGGACTCTATTTCAATATTCTCGTAAGTCTGGCGGCTATGCAACACTTGGAAACATTTCAAAGCTCCTGTGCATGTGCACAGTATGTGAAATTCCTGTAATTTAAAATAATAATGCTTTGGTATAAGTGGTATTTTGAATTGATTGCTGTTTCCAATTGCTGCTATTACTACTTTTTAATTCTAATGTAGTTAAGTTAGCTTCATCAATATCAATTTGTTTCCTGTACATTCATTAATCAGTGTAATTTTCTAATTGTTAGACTTTCAGACATGTATGCATTTGTAGTTCAAATATGAACCAGCCTTTTAGAACTAAATTATAAACCCTGAAAATATCCTTTATAATGGCAGTTTTCTTTAAGAAGCTCTTTTTTCACCAGAAAATGGTGAAAGGTGGGAAATGTAAGCTGTGGGCTCTTTGGTCCAACATGTTGTTGTTGTTAGGTACCACCAAGTCGTCATCTCTGACTCATAGCAACCCTATGCACAGAACAAAACACTGCCCGGTCCCATGCCAGCTTTGCTACACCAGAGCCCATCATTGTAGCCACTGTGTCTGTCCATCTCATTGAAGGCCTTCCCCTTCTTAATTGACCCTCCACTTTACCAAGCAGGATATCCTTCTCCAGGGAATGGTTCCTTCTGACATGACCAAAGTAGGTGAGACAAAGTCTGGCCATTCTCACTTCTAAGGAGCATTCCAGTTGCACGTCTTCCAGGACAGATTTGTTAGTCCTTTTAGCAGTCCATAGTACTCTTAGCATTCTTCACCAACACCACAACTCAAAAGCATCAACTCTTCTTTCATTTGGTCTTCCTTAATCATTGTCCAGCTCTCATATGCATAAGAGGCGATTGAAAATACCATGGCTTATGCAGGGATGGTTCAACATTAGAAAAACAATCAATGTCATCCACCACATAAATAAAACAAAGGAGAAGAACCACATGATCATATCAATTGATG